CTGGGCAAAGAGTGGGGTCATCCAGGTTTTGGTCCTCTAGGATGCGAGGTTCCCTCTCTCCGCTGGGCACTGGGCTGAGACAAGGCTCCTCTTGATGATGTCATTAACCTCGTTGTGTCTTGTATGACAGCCCTTGGAGCTTCCGCAGTACAACCCATGCAGTCCATATTGGTCTGCTTCCACCCTGTTGCAAATACACTTGTAATCAGTGTGAATTGGGGCACCAAGACAGAGGGCTACTGCTACACGAAGGGATTCTGGATCTAGACGCGTGCCTGTTGCCGACATGGGTACTGCCAGAAGAAAGTCCCCTGCATGGGGGGCACTCACTGCTCTGAGACGGGTTTTCTCCTTATTTGATGTTGCAGCGCTGAGCATGGCATCAACTATTTTTTCCACTAGTGGATAGTCCCAGCTGGACTGTATGTTTTTTCGTTGGAGCCATGATGGGTGCTGGGGCTGCAAGAGCATCCCACTGATTTGAACATTCAGTGAAAGCAGGATCGTGTATTCCTGCTGAATCACTCCTGAAGGGGTCCTGGTAGGGTATCTCTTATGAGGTCATACGATGCGGGAGGAAAGGAAGGCTGTTAGAGCAATCTGGGAGGCTGTGCGGACACCAAGGCCACCGAGTCTTACCGGGTTATGTATGTTGAGGTTATCCTGAGATGATTTCAGGGCATAGCATCCTCGTGGCCTGGTTCTTGATCTGGCCTCCTTTTTTTGATACACATCCCCAGGAAGCAGCCCCTAGCAGCTATCTAACTACAAAGTACATATTTACTGCTAGGTGAACAGAGGCATCAGGGTGAAAGAAACTCTGCCCATTTGTTTCTGTCTCCAACAGGGATCAAACCTGGAACCTGACGACTACGAATCCCGAGCTCTTTCCACTCAGCCGTCAGGCCCCCCACCTGACGGCTGGGTTGTTTGCTCCCATTGAGAGTCGTCCAACTGAAGGTTCTGGACTTTCATCAGCACGGACCTCAGAAGGGTGTCATACTCATTTAATCTAGGGCTGTTGAAAGATATAGAACACTTCAGAAAGTAAGTCAACTTAGGGAGAGATAAGCACCTTGTGAGGAGAAAGAGAACATCATGGGCATCAATCTTGTCAATCCTGTCCAGCATTCTCCTTAGGTCAGTGATTTTTGCATCCAGGACCTCTTTGATTGCTTGTGGGGCCAATGGGAGCACCCAGGAGGGTGGTTACCTTGAGACTACCTTGAGGTGCTTCTGGGGCTTAGCATCCCCGCGGCCTGGTCGTCGACCAGGCCTCCTGGTTGCTGGACTGATCAACCAGGCTGTTGGACGCGGCTGCTCGCAGCCTGACGTATGAGTCACAGCCTGGTTAATCAGGTATCCTTTGGAGGTGTTTGCCAAGTTCTCTCTTGAACACTGTGAGGGGTCTGCCAGTTATGCCCCTTATGTGTAGTGGAAGTGTGTTGAACAGTCTCGGGCCTCTGATGTTGATAGAATTCTCTCTCAAGAGTACCTGTTGCACCTCAGCTTTTCAACGGGGGGTGCAGTCAGGTGGCTCAACAACGAGAATGTCTGGAAGAAGTTTTTATTTGTCCAGTGATGTCTGGGTGCATGGGTTTTGGGAGACTATTTCGCATCTGGATGCACTGAGAATGAGGCCTAAGGCTGCACCTTGCTCCTGGATTTTCCTTATATCCTCCACAATTTTATCTTGGGGCTCCAGCGTGAGTGCTATCATCCTGGTTCCAGATGATTAGTTCACTTGTCAGACTATCAGTGACCTAAAATATACATCATCATTATTATTATTATTAATATATATATATATATATATATATATATATATATATATATATATATATATATATATATATATATATATAAACAAATCTTCTCAACATTTCTTACGTTTTTCTTCACTGTCGGTGGTAAAGGAAATATCAATTCTCCAAAATTCACTTTTATTAATGGTTTGATGCCTAGAAGCATTTCATAAGGGCTTCTTACATTCTCAAAGACTTGTTTACACTTAACGCTACACTTATGATACACTTGATACACTGTGTATGAAACATTTGACATAACTCTTGCTTTTTTATTGGTTTTGGGTGAGGTGGGTATTGGGTGATGTGGGCCTGATCAGAAAATCAGGGCCACAGAAAATAACACTATGTTTAATGGGGACAAGTTCCAGCTACAGTACTGCTCTATGGAAAAAAGGAAAATATCAAAACAGAAACCACATACAAGATGCAGTTAAACCACACTATCGAAAGAAAATGCAATGTAAAAGATTTGAGAAATTATGCCAGAAGGCCTTACTTTCGAAAGAACACGATAAAGTAGCTATTACAACATGAAGAAAAAGACATGCTGGATAACAAAAACCCTTCAAACAAGAGATGCCATACCAATGATGATACTTTTCAAGACACTAGTGTCTTGAAGAGTGAAATATTGTTGCACAATAACATCCCCATTCAAAGCTAGACAAATTGCTGACCTGGAGTGCATGCAAAGATCATTTACAGCTAGAATCCACGCAATAAAACTTTAAAATTATTGGGGATAGTTAAAATTTGATAATCTGTATTCTCTTGAATGCAGGCTGGAGAGATGCATAATAATTTACACTTGGAAAATACAGTATTAGCGACCTGTTTGAAATTTGCACACAAAAATAATATCACACGAGACCAGGAGGCATGACAGGATGTGCAGAATGACCCACTTGAAAAGCAGAGGGAAGGCAACTATTAGGGAAAAGCACCAAGCCATTTGACTATATAGCACTTGGAAGGGGTTAGGATAAGGATTAGGAATTGGACAGGGTGGGGGGGGGGAGGGAGTAAAAGTGCCCAACCACTTGGACAGTCGGGGGTTGAACACCAACCTGCATGAAGCAAGACCGTCTCTCTACCGTCCAGCCCAAGTGGTGTATGAGGTGCAATACTGTAGGTAAACAGAGAGAACTCTGTCAACATCAAAGGTCCAAGACTGTTCAACATGCTCCTGCTACACAAGGGACATAGGCTCAAGAATCTGTACACCAGTTGATTGACAGTTAAGAGGTGGAACCAATGAGCAAAAGCTCAACCCCTACAAGTACAACTATGTGAGTACAATATATAACTGGCCAACCTCTTACAGTGTCCAAGAAAGAACTCAATAAAAACTTCCAAAAGATACCTGATCAACCAGTCTGTGATTCATACATCAGGCTGTGAGTAGCCAAAACTATTGGTCTGGTTGACCAGACCACCAACCAGGAGGACTGGTCAGAGACTGGGCCATGAGGTACACTGATCCTTGGAATCATGGCAATATATCTAGCTACCAAGTATTTATAAAAATTAATATATATATATATATATATATATATATATATATATATATATATATATTATGCCATCAAGCATCATATATATACTTGAAGCCAAGCAGTGCTGTTGGCCTAATAATGTGTCACTAATTTATTAAAAACATGCATTTTTACATGTACAGGCTACATGAAATTGTTTACCTTAACGCAAAATAATTTTTGGGGGGTTATTTAAGTCACCTAATTTGCTAGGTTCCATTACAATAAGCTACTTTTCGTTTGTTTATATTCAAGTAGTAAACAGGCTCTGGAGGAACACACTGGTGTCTTTGCCTTTGACCCAAAGATGACTACACAGATCTCTGTGTACAGGTAAACTTGTCAATCACTTGAAAAAATAAGGTATAAGAATGCTAGAAATTTGAAATCACAATGAACTACTAATCAAGAAAACATTCATCACCAATAACATTAAGTGAAAAAACAAGTTGCTGCCAGTATACAACATATAATCAACACATTCTGCAATACCTTCAGGTACTTCTGTATACTGTAATTATGTTTAATGAGCACTGAACGAAGAGTCTTCATGCTAATACTTTCAAGGAGACACCATCAGTGCACACATACACCATGCTATGGATGTAGAGGAACTAATAAAGTTCTCCAGACATTGACAAACTACACAAAGAGAAAGAGGTTCCAGGTGGCAGACACATCCAAAACCCATGACAACAGTAAAACCATGATATCACAATGATGTTACAGACCTCTTGTACAACATACATAAAACACAACATTTCATTTAGAATTTCCGTCGGGTTGGGTTAGGTTTAATAGAGTAGCTATAACATTGCCGGGTCAAACTTTCCACAGCCCTTTGACCCTACTTGGTGACAGAGCACCAGGCAGCTGGTCCATTCCTGCCCCTCTACCGTTATTCCTTCTGTTTACATCACATTAATCTTTGTCGTACGGCAGCATAATATTGCAAGTGGTGGCCAGGTCACCCCAGGACCCCCACCCCAGGACCCAATGCTCAGCCACACACCCCAAAGCCTCCTGGAAGTTAAGGCGGCCACATACGTGAGAAATAACCAATGGAAGGCCTAATTTTTGGCATAAATATACTTTTGATGGCGGACTGCTAAATCAGGTTGAACGCCCCCTCAAACTCTCGCAGTGTAAACATATGCTCATTTTCAGTCTTCTGGGCCCTTTAGCTCCCCCGGAGTCCCCTCATACCCTTCCCCGCGCCCCAAGGGTTATGCAGTTGGTGCGAAAAGTGGCTAAATACTCACCCAACTGTGCGAAAACACTTCATCAATGAGGAATCGCCTGACATATCCTGCATCGACAACAACACCACTGAAAACTATTCAATAACGCGTCCCGATCCTCGGAGCTAGTCACCGCCAACAGTTGTCTCCAACATCAGGGAAAAACCCCACCAAAATGTTCTTAACATACTTGTATTAATATATAAAAAGTTACTTATAGCGAGTTACTTCGCGTGGATAGAGTGCATTGGCAGTAAGAAGGCATTTCATGGTTCTAGTTACCCTAAACAAGGGTCGAGGCTTCGAACATGTGTATCCAAGTCAAATGGTTCCTTTGTCGCTCTTGAGATCAACTTTTTGCAGCGATATCAACAAAATTCGACGAGAAATAAATTTGGAGTTGGAGTATATAAGACGAGGAGGATGTAGAGAGGTGAGGAAAGATGACGATAATGAACCAAGGAGGAAGGAGGAGTCGCGGCCGCCATTCAGGTTCGGGAGAGACCGTCACCGTCACCACAGGTCTCCTCTCTCTGTCTCTCTCTCCCCTCCTGCAGCCACCATGCTCGCCCTCAGGCCCGCAGCCTCCCGCCTCGCCCAAGCCGCCTCCACCATGGTGATGACCACCAGGACCACCGTCATCGCGGGCCCGCCAGCAAACAAAGTTTCCGCGGCGGTAAGAGACGGTGTTTGAGCCGGGCCGGTAGTGTGCCCAGTCATTCCTCTTGTCTGGTCGTGTGTGAGGGGCTCCTACAGCCACTCCCTTGTACCTGTGGTGGTCACTGGAGCCTCAGGGAGTAGAACGCGCTGTTTTTTCATAAATTAGAGGGAGTTGTAGGAGAGGTATCGATCGGCCGGTACACAGGCACAGGAGGAGGCCTAGTGGCCTATGGGAGGCAGCTGCTGTTGGGATACACGTCACAGTGTAGCCTAGATGGTTCACCTGTAGATTTTCAGAACTGCCTAATGGCACCCAAACCCACACCCCACCCCATCCACCCCCACCTCACCCCACCCTATCTACCCCCACCTCACCCCATCAAACTAAATCAAACACAGCCTCACCAAACGATTTATACACCCTAGTCCAAACTGTGCATTTGTTCCCGAACAAGTAATTTACCAATATCATTAACATCACTTGCTAGTGAATCATCTATTTTACTGACTTTGGGCAGAATATATAATTTGGTATATTGAAAGCGTGCAGCACCCGATGTGTGTGTTTATTATTTGTATTTACTGTTTGTATCTGCAGAATCAAGCTATTAGCTCTTGGACCCCCACTAACCAATTTATTTTTCCTCTTATGTCTACTACATATGTTTCTAACACACACACACATTCCCAGGAAGCAGCCTGAAACAGCTGTCTTAACACCCAGGTATCAATTTACTGCTAGGTGAACAAGGGCACCAGGATGAAAAACTGCCCATTTGTTTCTGCCTCTGCTGGGGATTGAACCCGGGCCTGTTAGGACTATGACCCCCACAGGCCTCACTTGGCCCCGAGGACCCCGGTGCGTACGTGTGTACCCAACAACGCAGCACTGCATCAGTGTGCGCACAAATGAGACAGTATAGGCAAGGTGTAGATATGCTAAATTTCCATATATATAAAAAATAAAATTATTTGCAGTACTGTAATATTATTTTGTACTGTGTATTGTTTGGCATCAGTGATGTAACATTTGCATTTTTCACCGTCTTGCTCATTAACTCTACCTACAGGGGTCCAGGCGGGTGCAGGTTACTGTACCTAAAATAGTTCAGCAATGGATTTTAAGGATTATGAAATCCAATGACACCTAATTTAACCTATTTCAGATTAACAGGAACTTTAAGAATTATGGAGTACTGACAGGCCACATAAATCCACCCTTTCTTACTATAAAACTATCCAATCTGTTTGTGAAACGTTAAACTTATTTGTTTCTAATGCTAGCTGACTTGCCATTTCATTCATCCATAACCCCTATTTATATCCCAACTTCAGGCTCAACAAGCCACATTATAGGGCAGAAAACTGGAGATTGACCTGGCAATGTAGATATGTTGTACTCGCACAAAAAAGGCAATTAATGGTTTTCCCATGATCTTTTGTTCTCTAATAAAATAAATGCATCATAAAGAACTCTCTCCAGATAGTTGGCTGAATGGCTAATGACCCATATCTACATACAGTACTAGAGGGTTCTCCAGGCCTAAGGTGTTAAGTATTTTGGCCTATATCTGTGGAGCATGTTGCAGATGTGAGAGGGGGTGGGGGGGATTTGACTTTCAGGATACATATGTTGGCCCCTGAATGAAGTAAACAGTTCAATATAATAAATTTCTGGGCATCGATATCATATACAGTATCAACTAAAGACTGCCAGTTTCCTGTTTTACCGTAATAATTCTCAATGTTGATGACCTCACAGTTTCAGAGTTAAATTCAAGGCCCCGAGTCCAACCAGCCTCCACCATTTACCATTGTTTATATTGACTTTTAATTTTAAGTGTTAATCAGATTTTTCAAATATTGTTTTTCCTTGCAGGAAAAGGCGGTTCATGCTGCCGTGATCATATCTGGGTGTGTTGCCACCCCTGCATACATTCTTGTGCACATTAAGGATTACCGTGGTCGTGAGGCATAGAGCAATTGATGTAAACCATTGTTATTCAGGTTAAATCTGCACATATTTACTTAAACCAGCTCATGTGTGAAATTATATTCAATCCTCAAAGGTTGTATGCAGTCATGGTAAAGTTCTTCTGAGAATAATTTTGTACATAATAAATGAGATAAATATTTATTTTTTTTAGTACTGTACCTCACATTAAACTTTAGTTCATGATTATTCTTTTGGCCCACTTGCAAGGTATGTAGGCGAGTGAAAATGGGCAGAAAGGACATCAGTCCAATTTGCTACAGTATAGATATATATATATACACACACTGTATATGTAAAAAGAGGGGTTAATTATTTTTAATAAAGCATCAGTGTGGCTACTAAATTCTATCAGCTTGATGGTGGAAGGGCAAGTGTTACAAATGATATACAGTACTGTACCTTTTATATCCACATCGAGAAAGGCATTTCTAACCCACCGAAGGAGACTATAGGGCAATGCAGTAGTTTCTATAACTATGGCTTTCCATTAGACTTGGTGCTGTGGAGAGGGGGGGGGGTCTTGCTGCATAGGTGACGGCTTCTTCCCTGTATCAACCTACCCTGGCTTGGCCACTCCTGACAGAAAACCAGAGTGCAACTCCATAGTCTCCAGAGACTGATGGATGCCTACTACTAGTCTAAATACAATTTGGACAGTAAGACTTCTTATTAGCACTTTATGGAACAATGACTTGGCCACAACAGTTTTTACTCCTGTTGAAGGTGACCTATCCATATCCTGCCACTTTAATTATTACAAAACTAACTGCATAACTGTCACTCCAGTAGGTGATCACATCACACTGCGGATGGCAGGGTAGAAATCAGAGTAAGGAATCTTTCAGGGGAATGGAACAGGCCGCTTTAGCAGTGGTATCTGTGAGGTCTTTAGAGGCACACCAACATGGCTGTGACCCAGCTAAATTTGACATTTCTAATGAACCAATATTAGGACAAAGGGTTGACAGTAGGGATATGAAGGTGCTTAATGAACCACAATAATAAATATTGGTGCATGGAAAAATGGGGTGTTGAAATCATGACTGGGTAGGTACAAGAGGAATAAGCTTTCATTAAATGGGTCGGTTTTACATTACAAAGGTTTACAAGTGGTCCCTCAAAGTAGAAATAAGAGGAATTGCTGATGTATACCAAGAATCTTTGCAGGAAAGGAGGGGGAACAGCCCCACCAGCCTGAAGATGGCATACAAGAGTGCCCTCACCACAAAATATACTAATGTCAGCACAGTAGTGGTGCACCTATACTTTATGGTACTCTTTCAATATGGGTTTTGATCATTGAATTAGACTGGAAAACTACTTACCTATGCAGAATATGCCACAATACACCAATATCCATTGGTTCTGATAAACCAAATTGTCACGGTATTGAACACTTCTCCAGGCCTACCATGAACATGGGGGGGGGGGGGGTTGGAGCTGAAACTACCATCTGGCCCAGAAATTTACTCCCATTGCAAAACCATGAAGAGTATACATTGCTTTGAAGTTCTTAAAATTTAAATGTGTGCAGTCAAACACTTTGGCATTGTCAGTATTTAATATTTAAATATGCATTATGCCAGTATGGGAAATTGAATTTCAGATGACCAATGCTGCATTGTGTACTTTGCCAGTTATAATGGTAAAGAACTGTTTTTACAAACAATGGGGTGAACAAAATAAGTAAAAGTATTTACAAGAGTATTTAATTTTACAAGTTGTCACTAGTCGAAATATACAAATCACACAATGGCATACAGTTCAATCCTGGGTGGCCGAGATGCACACTGCCATAGATTCAGTTCGCGAGGGCTAAAAATACAAATCTACAAGAGCAACTCCGAGAATAATACCGGGTACTATAATTCGGCGAATTGTGGCAGTGCTTGGCAGACTAGTTGCACCAAATAGATAGCAGAGGCCACACTTCCCCAAGTATAATTAAAATTATATATATACACTGCATATTACATATGCCATACACTAGGTTGTGACAGTTTGTTCTTGTACAACAAACTATTTAGATGTACTTTACAATCTGAATAATTACATATGTACACTATTCATTACAAGAATAAATATCCATTTCAATCCATATGTTTGCAACAATCATAAAACATTTCAATTGTTTAAACAATGTACAGTAATAAGTTGCAGATAAAGTACCAAAAACATACCTAATTTCATGCTCACTTTCCTACCTTGTGCTTCAAACACTATCTTACTACCCACTTCCAAAAGTACTCAAGACGTCTTTATAAATTGAGAGGCGATTACACTGGTATTTTAGTTATGTCAATATAAAACTTTGCTACATTGTAACTTTTCCATCTTACCCGATATGTTAGATTAAGGACCTGCCCGAAATGCTAAGTGTGGGATTGAACCATTCAAAGCTACCTTCATTACATGCCAACTGAAAACCCTTTTAAAAGACTAGCACAAATTAATTTTTTTTTTATAGATCAACATGCACACCAACATCCACAATATATCTACGCTCACACATGCATTATCGTTCCAAACATTCAACGGCTAACCAAAGAGCCGAATCACCACGAGGTTGAAAATGTCTACTTTGATCAGACTGAAAGGTTGGGCACCATTCCTCATGCCCAGGGAAGTGACATTTTTCATTCTAACTTAAGACTAGTCTCCAGGTAATTACTATTCTTTATTAATGAACAAATTACAAAATATCACTTGACATTTGCTGAAGAAGATTCTCAAAAGTTACATTGCCTGGCACTTGCAATACACAGCTCTGGACTTAATCCTACTGGTTATTACATGAATAAAATTCTTGTGTAATTTTCACATCTTTCTAATGGTTTTGGCAAAATAAACATTTTAAATATACAACAGATTACCTCCTTAATACATACAGCTAAGGGGCAAAAGACAGTGTCACAACTTTCAAAATTACACAATCTTACTATGTAATATTTATTGTAATAAGGCATTCGAGATATTTAATGCTGCTCAATACATTTACTAGAATTTACTGCATGGATTTTTTTTAATCAAAAAAAAAAAAAATAGAAAAAAATACTTCAGCTTGTTAAAAAAAATTTTTGGAAAATCGAATTAAAATAAAATTTAGAGCCAGGACGCAAACAGCAGCTACAATGAGCACAAATTATGTCAAACTGGGAGGCTGTCGTCTGTTGATAAAGTGCTACATATACAGTCTGGTAACCAACCGTAACTGATTACAAACTTTATTTAAAGTCATTATAAACAAAATTAGTAAAAATAACCATTTAAAAAAAAAAACCCAGCAAATCCTGTGTAGTTTAAGACTAACGTACAACTGCAGCTGAAGGGTCAAAGTCCTCAAAGACCAGCTGTGAAGCACTTTAATACTTAACAACTGCACTACAAGCCAACACTGCTCCCATTTGTACAAAGTTTGCATTTACATGCAACCATTGCCTATCAAAATTTTGGAATGTATCAAAGTTGTCAAGCCTGACAAAATGCAAACTTGCCCACTTCTTAATTTGAACAATTCCACTTGACAAGCATTATGACCGCATGGATCTTTAGCTTTTGCACTACATGGAAGAACGTAAAATACATTATTCAGATGGAAACGTTTACACAGGTGTCTATTTTGGAGAGAAATTACCTCATTCTAAAATGAACTTAAAAGTATTATTACTTAATCTACACTTTCGCTTTCAAGTCTGAGAAATTAAAATATTTCACCGAAATAAAGCATTGTAATCTACTCCAGTGCCCAGTTCACCGACGAATTTACAAACGCAATTTATGTTGTAATCTTTTAAAAGTCCAAGTCAAATATTTAACTAAACATATTGATGGGGAGAAAAAAAAAAAAAACCAGCAAACCAATATAAAATATATGATTCCAAGTAATTTTAAATTACTTGGGAGTCTTACTACTGTATTCTTAAACAAGCAATACAATTCAATTTAGGTTCTTCCAATCTTTAATGTAAAGATAAAAAGTCTGGTTGCAGGCGAGGCAATACAGTAGGTAGGCAGTATTATGCTAGAGTTTCTCCTCTTTAGAGCTTGCACAATTTCAAAGTAAAATTAATACAATTAAAATCAAATCAATTTCTTCACCCTCGTTGCTCAAGAGTAAAATAAATTTTATTAGCCCTACAAATTACAGTTAATTGAGCAAAACCTTATGATTTTACTTCCATCACTACACAGACTAATAGTAAAAATCATTTAAAAATAAAAACAAGGAAATTGTCAATACCCACAAATTTGCATGTTAAATGTCATCAATAAGAAAAAAACCAGGCTCCAATGTAATGCATTATGTACACCATTTTGCTTTCCTTCCTGTAGAATAGACTGGCCCGTGTACTGCAGAGTCCAGTTTGCACAGTTATAAATTAGCCGTCGGATCTTGAGAAAGCATTAATTATGGTTTCCAAGGAGTGAACTGGCTTGTAACATCATTGAGTGTTTCGAGGAGACATTGGTTTGATGCCAACCTTTTGAGCAAAGTTAGAGACTAGGGTTGCTAAAGCAGACTCGTTCCGTCCATTGGCACCTTGGAAGCTTATAGAAGCGTAGACAGTATAGAAGAGAGATCGCACCTGAAAATAGTATTTATATTTACACCATTTTCTACCAACTTTATCCAATCACCCCCCCCCCCTGCCCTCTGAGAACTTTAATAACCTGATAAATGTATAATTAATGCCTCTTGATTTCTGCTGCATCTTTAAATAAATTGAATTAGACTTTTCAAGTAATTTCTGTACAACCTAAATCACATGCTCTGGCATCATTAAAAGTTTAGTTTTTTCCATCATTAGCTAGGCTAGAATCGATTTCATAATAGTGTACAATACTGGCACTGTCAAGTCCTATACCTGGAATACAGTGGCTTCAAGATAAAACAATACTGTATACAGGCACTGACCCAGTCTGAACAAGTTAAAGAGCACAGGCATTTGAAATCCGAATTAGGATACCCATTTCCAATACAAGTACAGTATTGGCATTTTGGGTTTGCAAGCTGCTAAAATTTAAAAACACTACTCAGTGTTAAAACCAATACAAAAGCAAATTAAGTTACCTTATCAAGCCTCTCTGCCCTGTTGAAAACTATAATGCTCTGCTCAGAGTCGCAGCTCCCCTCCTCCTCTTTTATGGTCGTTGCCGAATCCAGCAGGTCTGATGGTCTAAAAAGAAAGACTAGCTAGATTAGGAATTATCATTAGTGTTGCAAGCAGTACACAATGTCCCCTTTCCTTGTAATGTGTCAATAAGAATTGTCAGCTCTACAAGCAAAGAAAAAGCCCATACAAAAGCTGCCGCCAAGAGTCGTCATTCACATGTAATCACAACTATAATGTTGTCTACTTAAAAAAAAAAAAAAAAAAAAAAAAAAAGGGCCAACATACAATCTGAATATCCCAGTGCTAGCTCTTTAGCATAGAAGTGGTGGGCTTGGAGAAAATTTTAATTAATATTTTCCTCTGCAACCAATTTTAATTCCCAACCCATGTAGGAAAGATAATACAACTCGAGCCAGTATGAAATATACATACAGAAGCGCTAAACACGAGATCACAGTACGAAGTGTCCAAATATCCTGCTAACCAAAAAGATAAGTGGAAAAAGTAGACAAATGTGGTCATACTAGTGTACTAGCTTTGTTTTGAAATTTAAAGAAGTCTTAAAATTAAGTTTAGAATTGTGAATACTATCAAATTCACTTACACTGAAGTACGAGAACTGCGAGAATTTGCCGAGCCAGGGTTACCAATTGACCCCGTTGATCCACGAAGGCTGCCCGTTCCAGAAATCAACTGCCAACTTCCAATAGAGCTAACCGACTCTTGTCTTGTCCGTGGTGCCGGGCGGCCACGGGGAACAGGCACAGCCATGGGACTAGTAGAAGCACGCGGGGGTTCCTGACAACCATTGCCCCATGATCCATGGTCTGACCCAGCAACACTATCACCACTGGAGTCACTATGGCCATTTCTTGATCTGTGCGAGCATAAAAGTGGTTTACTTGCATCCAGAAAGGAAGTGTTTGAACTACCATTTTTAAGCAATCCACTAGTCACTCGGGAATGACTTCCAGCTATGGTACCTTGCCGCACTGATAACTTTCCCTCACTTGTGATCCCTGCTGTATCAGAATCTCTTGCAGATGACCTATTGAATGAACCCCTATTTGTTGTCGACGTTCTACCAGGGTTTGGGGAAATCTCATCAAAGTCAATTTCCTCAGTAAAACTTCCATAGGGCCATGTTAGAGAATTAAAACTATCAGAACTTTCCCCACTCTTTGCCGCCTTAAAATACACAGGAGGAGCATGATGAGAAGACCGATTTGAAGAGCACGATGAATTCAGGGAATTGGAGGATCCTGCCGAGCTCAAGCCATCAGCATCAAGCATCACACAGTCTAGTTTTTCTGAACTAGAGCTGTCATTTGACATATGTCTCCTGAAAAGGGAAAGTAACCATTACTTCCTATACATTTTATAATTAAGAACTTTCCACCGCAGTTGTCAGTGTTTATTTACTAGCCTTGCTTCACTTCCAGGTAGACAAAGTGAGTAAGTAAATCCCTTTGCCATCAAATTCCCCCCCCCCCTACCCAAGACTAATTTCAAAATTTCAAGACAGTCTTTCAGGTAGGTCACTAAGCAAAATTATTTCTCTAGTCAGTCATGCAGCATAAATTTGTGTAAGACATTAAAAAGATTAATATCTTAAAAAATAAATTGGTTCTTAAAAAAGAAAAATATAAATTCAAACATAACATTAACCATTGGAATTTAATCTTTCATAGTGCTCTGTAATTCCTCAGTCCAAGCTCTGGTAACTGCAGAAAGTATACAAACTAACCTCAATATATGAAAAGGAATAAAAGCAAGTGGTAGTTTGCAAGGAGGTAAACTTTCATGGTACTGTAGCTATGTGCCACCAGTTGACATGCTTGGGTCATTCAGGAGAGTTCAGCAAGTCCACACTATTTCACATGCTACCCAAAGACAACACATCACTGTTAATGCACAAAATGCAGGGAAGAAGCTACAGAGTACCACTGAAAGAATTTAAATTAAAGGGGTGCCAGCTTGTTAAGCTACCAGATGAATACATCCCCAAAAAAGAAAACCCATGCTGAAAACCGACCCATCTTTATTAACAATGGAAATGTTTTTCCTGCGCAAGACAGTCGACTAGGGATTGAGGCAAGATACAAGACATCGCCCAAGTGCAGCGAGGAAACTGGCTATCCAACAAGGACCTCGATTCATCAAGTAAATGCATTAGCACATGGTAAACTTTAGAATCAAACATTATCGGCACTCAAGCCGGGATTGAACATTATGAAATATTGAAGAAATCCCCCCTTAACCAAATAACTTCCAAGGCCACCACTTTGCAAGCTACACTACTGTTTTACTGTACAACATGCAGACATCAAATTTATTGATTAGGCTACAAGCCAAAAGAAAAATAGTATAGGAATTTATAAAAACTTTTCAAACCCCTAATACTAAAGTTTGAATTCAGTACTTAACCCCAACCTGTCACCCTAACCCCACTGGACTGAAGATGGCAGCATACATCATGCTCTCTGCACTAGGATTAGACTGATGTTCTTTGACAGTGAAAATATTGCTCTATACTCAACACTTTCAAGTTTTGTAATAAAGCTGCTCGTTATTAAAAAAGTTACCGTACACTAAACTCCATTTAAATATACAGTAGACAGTTTGCCTCCATAATATATAAATTGGTTGCAATGGCACTAAAGTAATAGCACTAATATGAAATAATGCCAAGCAGCAAGACTGCAAACCACACCCAAGAGTAAACAGTAGCTAAATGTTGCCATTCCCAATGCAAATTACAAATAAAGTATTGTAGACTTTGCAAATGCCAATGGCCATGATTAATTTCACTAATATGGTCCAGAAATATTGTAAATACAATAGTCAATTGGATCAAAAGTGCCAAATACAGTATTGTAGGGTCAAAGCATCAGTGCCCAAAATTTGTGACTTCCAGCACAATTTACTTCCAAGTGCCAAATCTTTTGGGGCATTAGGGTGTGGCAGCAGCAGCAACAGCCTGGTGAACCTACTATTCTTAGAACTTTCTGCGACATTTGAGGCAAAGTAACAAGTAGATGAAATGAGCCTTTGAGGATATTCCAAGCTGAAATGTATTCACAATCTCTCCATTGCCACCGATTTAATGGCAACGAAGAGCTCCCCTTACGGCACTATCACTTCCAATAAAACTAGAAGCCCTCGTCTTTTAAGCACTCCCAGCAAGGAAAATTTTTAAGTGCAAAAATGCTTTGAAATGTGTGCACATAGCCTACTGTGCAAGAAAAAAAAAAAAAAAGTTTAGTTTTAAGCAACACTGATTATCCTGGCAACAAAAGCCATACTACAGTGACCATAGCTGTGAAAATCTAGAAAATTTACCAAGAATCTCGGAGACTACCGAATAATATATGGAATCTTAACTTGCAATTACCAGCACTATAGACAAGTTGTTATGGACTACAATGCAATTACAACTACCTGGCCGATTTAACAGTACAGTAGTTTACGAGCAGTAGAGAAATTTAGTCCAAATTCATTTTAAATTAAAAAACTTTAAACTTGCTAAAATCCGACCATAACTTAATTATGCGTCTAGTGCTAAAATGATAAAAGACACTAAAAAGGGATTTTAAGATTAAAGCAATTGCTAAAATGCAAATATGACCAATTTGTTCCAACAGCAAGAAATGCATTCTTTATCAATTCATGACAACCCAGTTAATTTTTGCCACCAATTGGTATTCTTTACACTTGCAATTAGAATACTCTATCTTTAAAGTACACACTGCTCCAAATTAGTGTGAAGCAGGAAGCTTTGCAAGCAGACTAGATGTGCGATAGCCAAAGTCTGACAAATCTAGTCAACTCGTGGAAAAAAGTTACTCACTTCCTTCCAACACTGAAATCATCTGAAGTAATGTACTTGAGGAAGTGGAAGCAGAAGAAAAAAATTTCTTCACCCTTGTTTAGACGGTCCTGAAGATCATGACCAAATGCCATCCAGTCATATCCAATAGTAAGATAAAGGATCTGGTAAAGAAAAAAAAATTAGATGCATCAAAAAGTTAGTCACATGTACCAATTAACAAATTGTTCAGCACTAGTTTTAAACTAGACATTTGCAGCATATATATTTAGGAGAGCAAGCATGCACACACCTCTACACTACCATGAACATTAAAAATACACTTTGCCACCATGTACTTGCAAGCAAGGAATTAAAGTACAGTATTCCAACTCACCTGATTACAATCTAGTGATGAGTGAATGAGTCCATCAGCCCAGAGAGAAAGCCTCAGCAAAGATATGAAGAGCGGGGTGCGGTCCCATCCAGATATACAGTGAACAAGTATACCTTTCGATCCATCGTGTATGTACGTTAGAAGTAACTTCAGGTAGTTCTGGCTTAGTCGCAACAGATCCCATTTCTGTTCAAGTAGTATAATTTCCTAATCAAAGTTTATCCTAAACTTCAAAGCATTCATAATATGTTTCATTTCTACTGCATTAATTCTTCTACCTTTAAAGTTATCATTGGACACTTCAAACCATTGACCAATGCAACCATTTTCCTAGTCAATGAGAATAAGTCGGAAAATATCTTTAACATCTATTATCTGTTAACAGATATTATCTATTATCTTCAGCCATTAGAGAAACAGTGAACATTTACAGTGAAAACATTGTGGCAGTGCTACCAGCACCACATTGGAGCATGCACAGTACACACAAGCAATAGAGCTGTATCTATATTTTAACTATAACCATTATGAAGAGGGAATGGAAAATTTAGGAAGTCTCACGGTCACTAATCTTTTCCAAAAATTTTATGGCTACCCTCCATACAACTTCCATTTATCGAAGAGTAGATTTACCGCGTATACTGTACAATCATTCATAAGAGGTTCTCGCCAATTTATTCCCATCTGAGAAATTACATTGTAGGTATTCAGTATTGTAAACCCAAAGTGGTAATACTAAAAAATCTTTATGCATCATGTCTACAAACCATTCCAGCACACTCACACGATAATTATTCCAATCGGAGGTTACTTTGGCAGACATGAGCCTCTCTGGAATAACTAACTGGGCATCAACAAATGGCTGATTCCAGTTGAAGTACAGTCCTTCCCCATTATACCCCAGGTCACGAAAATCTTTGAAGAACTCGCAACCAGGATATGGCAGTGACAAGATGCTGAACTCGCTGTACCTGTTCTCCTTGTCGACCTTCTCTGATGATGTCACACTGAAAGAAACTGAACAATGAACAAAAACAAAAAAAAAGTTTACACCAAAACCTATACTGTATAGAATAGATTAAGCCAGAAAGACAGCTAGGAGGCACTAATATTCTTAGACTACTGACCCCCCCCCCTCAAACCACCCATTCTCAAGCCTTGTGTAAATTATTTACACCTGATATTAGTCATGACTTTTTACCAAAGCACAATTTATTATCAGAAATTTTGCCCTTTAACGAGGACAAGAAACGCTTTAAAGGAACCACACACATTATGAATGTTCAATGTCCATAATCAGTTTAATAAGATATGTCTAGAATTTTGCTTAAATCTCTGGCATTGGCCAGTGGCTGCAGAAATACATTTATCAAGTTCAAATCTTTAAGAATCACCGACCATTAAAATTGAATAATATTTAAAAAGTATACTTTGTGCATGCATTTAGGCAATTTTTAGACTTTAGAATGTTTCAGTTGCCAGAGACTGGCAACAAGGTTGTACGAATGTTTGCCTGACCACATTGTTCATTATTCTTTCTAGGCATCTACTGTACTATAATACAGCATGTATTTTTTTTTTATTTGCCATTTAACAGTTTCCCCATGACATTCTATATGCACCATAAATCTAATATAGATTAATTTTATACAAGAGAAATCTTTACAAACCAAAACGTGTTAAAATTAGATTACAATCAATTGTAATGTTAAATTACAATCTACTTTATAATGGGCCAGGACAAACATATCTTCTAGCGTGTGGTTTGGTCAACAATTTTAGTCAATGTTATTTAAAGTAATCACAGCAAAGGTCCGAATGATCGACAATCCGATACTTACTATACTCCAAACTTTACTTTCTTCTTCTCCACCATGAGATCAACGATCACACCAACATTACACGCCTTCAATAGTCTTATATCCTGAGATCTTACACGGTCAAACAACTGCCAGTCGCTGGTAGTCTGGGGTATCTGCATGAAATGTAAAGACTCCAATTAGAATATACATCAATTACCATTTCTTACAAAGTCAAAAATAACATCAGATTTCAGCATCAGGTAAGTATTCCGCCTCCCATACAAACAACTGTTAATAGAGCAAATATAGTTGACCAACTATCAGCAAGTTTCCACAAAATAATCTAAATGTAGGAAACTAACTACAGTACTAAGCTTCAAAGTTCAATCTTTACTGACAAAATTAAATAATCTTTAATGTGCTCTTCACAATACTGTACAATATGTTACCGAAGTGGAAGATATGCACTAATGATTACGAACCTTTAAAATTCTGGAAAACTGATATCTGTACACATTCTAAATTACCTGCAAAACTTAAACTAGAAACCGATACTTTACTTCATCGTCATCATCATCATCCACTCTATTGGCGCTAGAAGAGTTGAAGAGATAATCCATGCCAGAACGCCCATACATCTCCGGACCTCCAGATAAAGTAGCAGATCTGAGAAGACCACAAAACAATTAAGGCATCTATAGGGACGTCACCTTTGTCCTATTCAAAGCAACAACATTAGAAGCAGCAAGTGATTAACATTTAACTAATTACAGGCCATTCAGGGAAAAGCATCGAGCCATTACAATTACATAGCACTTGAAAGGGGGTCAAGATAAGGATTTGGGATGGGACAAGGGGTAAGAAATGGTGGTAAACCCCTTTGACAGTCTGGTATTTAAGTGACCTGCATGAAGCGAGACTGTCGCTCTACTGTCTAGCCCGAAAGTGTACAAACAGGCCAGAAAGTGTAATCTGGCCTGTCATATTTCTTGCTTGTGTACATAAAGTCAACCCCCCCCCATCATTATCTGGGCTAGTTTTCCCAGATTTACCAATTATCTGAACATTGGTTGATGTGAATGCTGGACAAACATACAAGGCCAAACAAAGGTTAAACATTTGCTATGCCAGATATTTTTTAAGCTAAAATGTAAGTTACTAAAATAGTGTGTGTAAATTATACATTTAGATATAATACCAGTACTAACCTGCATATATAATTTTCCTTGTACAGGATAGTAGGAATAGGAAACCTAGCTCTACACCGAGCAAATTTGGCCTTGAGAATAGACTCCCTGAACTTCGACCCATTACTTTGTGCCTCCGTCGTTCCTGCGATCATGCTCTTGTTCCCATCAGCTGCAGGAATAAATCACAATGCTTAGCAACTGCATCAATGCCAAAATTTTATACGATATCCCACAATGGGAAATTTAACATTTGTACAAGTGTAAAGAAGTTTTTAATAGAGTACCAATTAACAAACTAATAGTAAAAGACTATGCTATAGATTATGTTCGACAATTCAGCGTTTCAATGCAAAGCGTGCACATGAAACTGCAGAATGCCCACAAGGCAACTAGAGTACCTACCCAAACTTTTATACATGCAACCTTAAAGTTATCCAGCAGGTGCATGTCCATTATACCCAGTATTTTACCCAAAATCCACTTATTTAAGTATTTACCCAGGCATTCTTTTGATTCTTATGGCATATGAAGAAAGTACATTATGTAGTTCCAAAAACCAAGTTATATAATCATTTTAATTGCAAAATTATGATATACAAAGCCTGAAATGCCCAGCAATTTTATCACTATTTATAGTGTCATTCTTTAAAGAATTCCATACCAAGTAATCTGAAAGTTTATTAGATTTCATACAAGTTAATAATTCTACAAGAAAATTTGGGGATGGCCCCTACCCCCCCCCCTCTCCCCAGGAAGAATTGGTGCATAGCCAGGCAAGACTCTCCATAGCTGCTGTCTAAGGGTTAAACACAGTAGTTTAACACTATCTGCAGATCAGGACTCCTCCCGGCGTCCTGTTTCGCCAACCGCTCCCGCATGGTGGACATAAATTTATGTCCTTTTAAAATATTTGTATAAAATTCAATTTTAATCCGATTTACTTTGGGTTTGTTTCAAACTGCGCGCCATGAGGCTCTCTTTCTCACCACTAGGCTGCATGGTACAATAAGTTCATGAAAGGTGTGGACCACTTCGATCAAATGGCATGTCCCAAACGGGTTGCAGGTGGGCGACTTTAGCCGTTTATACTGGTAATGCTTCCCCCATATCATGTATTATATGCATATGTCTGTTTAGGGAATTTTATTCCGATCAATGTACAACCAAAAATAACTGGTGCAACAAGTATAAACTTGACAAACATAACAAAAGTAAAAACATTTCGTGTGTGTTTGACGCTCACCGATATGTTCCAGCGTTCTTTTATATTTGGCGCTATTCTATCTTACGCTTTGTTGATCTTTTTTACCTACGGGCTCATAGTACATTCTATTGCGAACACATTGACACAAAAATGAATGACGTACATAGAATAATAATGTCATGAGAATGAAATAAGTATAAACTTTCAAAGCGCCGTGCGTCGTCCCGTCACCGGGTAACAATTTCACCACTTCCCACACTCTTGCGGGCGGGCCGCAATCATTATTCTACGCTTATATTCATATCACCATGTTGGGAATTTCATTGCGAGTCCATCGATACCAAAATTAACGCTGTAGGACAAGTGTAGAGGTGATAACAATCCCAAGAGTAAAAACATTTTGTTGCTGTTGGGCGCTCACGGCGAGTCATCTTCGTAGTTATTTATTTGGTGCTGGTATCCCTATACGTTTCGTGACTTTTTTTATTGATGTTCTTCTAGAGAATTTTATTGCGAACACATTGATACCAAAATGAAATACGTAGCTCGAGAACTAAGGTAAGGAGAGTAAAAAGAGTATACACATTTTTGTTTTTACGCTTACGCAGCAAAAACGCCGCGCGCACATACCCCTTTTTTTTTTTACCATCGAAGGGGGCCGGAAAGTGTTAATGAGCCTTTACCAAGTCTGGGCTAGATTAAAAATCTGTATTGGTGCACTAATCATTAAATGAGGGGGAAGGCTCCCTCCAGAAACACTAAAAGAACAAGAGTAACCATGCAGTTAGGCTCAAATCAAAACAAATTACACCAATAATTTTCCAAGATGTGCCATAAAACTATACTAATAGCGAGACTATTTTCGCCATGTAACACGTTTAGTTTTATTCTAACCTGGTAGGGAACATTTCCTTGCAGACTGCACCTCTGTGGGATGGCCATTAATGGAAATGGAGGCACGGGCACCTCCCGACACCACAGAGGAGAATGAAGGTGCACTTCCTCCTGGAATGATCGAGGGCGAGCCAAGACTTAGCGGCGAGGGCGAGGTGAGAGTGAGGGGGCATACAAGCCCAGGTGGGTCAAGTCCTTCGGGCACTACCTCACACTCTGGGATGATCAGCCGGTTGGGATAACTGTTGCACAGCTCTCCTTCAGAATTGGGTACAACCTGCCAGTGCAAATTTAGTTAGCTAAAGGCAAATTATGAACCTAGATATTTTTTTTAAACACAGTACAGTATTCATTTGGGAATAGAACAGCTAGACTTGCTACATTGACACGTTATTAAATCTAAATTTTTTTTTTTTTTTTTTTTTTTTTTTGAGATATATACAAGAGTTGTTACATGTACAAATGGTGTTACATTCTTGTATAAATGGTTTTATACTATTCATATTGCACTCACCATGCACTTGTAGTCTAGCTGCCATAGATGAAGACATTTATCAAGTATCTTGTCAGTCTGTGAACAGGAAACAACCTGATAAAAATATAAAATTAAAGCCAATTCACTACTGTATTACATTAAAAATTACACATCGAAATGAAGATCCTTGCCTGCTTCGGTAGCGAAAAAATATAACTGAAGAAAGCCTTTACCGTCTCCTGGCAAACACACAGTCCATGCAATAGAAGTAAAATATTATGTTAACTGCAAATAAAACAAAGAACATTACTTTTCAAACAATAAAAAAAAATCCGAACCCCTGAATACTTTAATACAGCGATAGTTTTCCTCTCCATGGCAGAAAATGAGTTACAATTAACTAGCCAAAGACCACCCAGAAATTCCAAAATTACAGGTCTATCACAGATGCAACCTTTTATCATATCTAACCCAGAATTTAACAAGTGTAGCCGACATCACATTGCAAGCGAGAAAGGCTTCAAGTGCTATATTTTAAACTAGCAAAGTTTCTCCTACCTGCATATGATCATTCTAGAGCACTAAATTAAAAAAAATAACTAGTTTGTGGACTTTTACTAGTTCAAAATTAGTAAAGTACCTTCATATTTGGGCACAAGTGGCTTTACCAGGGTAAAATGCACTTTATGAAATGATTATATTTATTAAAAACAGGCAAAGGTTAGAGTATGCTAGTTCCATATACAGGAATGCTTTTGTGTATAGCACTTTTGCATATTCAAATATAGAGGTGAACTACATCACTTAGATTTAGCACAAATAAAAGGGGCATTTCTTCAAATGAACTATAAATGAACTCATAAGGTTCATTTGTAAATTTATTTTATCAAATGTAGCAACGTGTCATTAGTCAAGACATGCTCTAAAAATGAGTGTCACTGGAATTTTATATAATCAGATTCAACCTTCCAAAAGCAATTGAAAAGAATTTTTATAAATGTTGCAATTCAGCCAAAAGTTTAAGAGGTCAAGGACTTAAAAGCTCCTCGTCCAAAACTAGAATAAGATCAAAGGCTACAGTACAAGACTATCTAGATTGATCTACGCAAGACGAGGCCTCCATGATCTCTTGACACTCGTGAGTGTCAGAGGGCACCAATATCAGGGCCACGAGCCACCCGTGTCAGAGGGCACCAATATCAGGGTCCACGAGCCACCCGTGTCAGAGGGCACCAATATCAGGGTCCACGAGCCACCCGTGTCAGAGGGCACCAATATCAGGGTCCACGAGCCACCCGTGTCAGTGGGCACCATTATCAGGGCCACGAGCCACCCGTGTCAGAGGGCACCAATATCAGGGTCCACGAGCCACCCGTGTCAGTGGGCACCATTATCAGGGCCACGAGCCACCCGTGTCAGTGGGCACCATTATCAGGGCCACGAGCCACCCGTGTCAGAGGGCACCAATATCAGGGTCCACGAGCCACCCGTGTCAGAGGGCACCAATATCAGGGTCCACGAGCCACCCGTGTCAGAGGGCACCAATATCAGGGTCCACGAGCCACCCGTGTCAGAGGGCACCAATATCAGGGTCCACGAGCCACCCGTGTCAGAGGGCACCAATATCAGGGGCACGAGCCACCCGTCTCAGAGGGCACCAATATCAGGGTCCACGAGCCACCCGTGTCAGTGGGCACCATTATCAGGGCCACGAGCCACCCGTGTCAGTGGGCACCATTATCAGGGCCATGAGCCACCCGTGTCAGAGGGCACCAATATCAGGGTCCACGAGCCACCCGTGTCAGAGGGCACCAATATCAGGGTCCATGAGCCACCCGTGTCAGTGGGCACCATCAGGGCCATGAGCCACCCGTGTCAGTGGGCACCAATATCAGGGCCACGAGCCACCCGTGTCAAGAGGGCACCAATATCAGGGCCACGAGCCACCCGTGTCAAGAGGGCACCAATATCAGGGCCACGAGCCACCCGTGTCAAGAGGGCACCAATATCAGGGCCACGAGCCACCCGTGTCAGGAGCACGACAGGTGGTCAACACCAGCACACAGGGAGGGTACACACACGTGCCCACAGGTGGTCACCCTCGCCAACACCTGCCCATCACACACAGGTGTCATGACGGTGGCGTGGCACTGTGCATCAGGAAAGTGGTCCTTGAAACACACCAGGGGAAAGTATGGGAGAGGCACCCCCCCCCCCCACATGGCACGCCCACCACATGTTACCCCCACACTTACCACCACACCACTTTCCCTCGCCCTGTACGTGTTCTTCTCGAAGATCTTGAGAAGCTCTTCGATATCCTTGGTCGTTATCTTGGCTGGATCTTCCATGGTTGTGGTCGAGGAGGAGGAGGAGACTAGAGAGTGGAGGTGGTGCGGGTCATGGCAGTGAGGGGTATGAGAGACGCACTACGCCACAGCTGCTGAGGTAAACACACACGTCTGTGGTGTACACTGTGGCTCTCCTCGCCCAATACGCTCAGCCCGCGCGCCTCACGCCCACTCGCACCCCATTGGTCCCTTCCACCCCCGCCACCCGCCCCATTGGTCCAATCTGCCGCATCTCCACCACTCACGGCCCGGTTGGACCATATTGAGCATCTTGACTACTGGCGACAAAATGCTCAGTGTGCTTAACTTACTCAAGCTGGTATATGTGCAGAGTTCTCGGTGTATATTCACTAAATTTTCTTTTGAGTTGGACTATGTTCATTAAAGTATTCTTGCTGAATGGTCAGTAATCACATGGTGTGGCCTTAACAACACTGGAGAGGCAAATAGGCCTGGAGCACATAAACTCATTACTTATACTAGTTTGTCTATACCCATATACAAATGACCGGCAGCATACAATATTATATATATATATGTCGTACCTAGTAGCCAGAACGCACTTCTCAGCCTACTATGCAAGGCCCGATTTGCCTAATAAGCCAAGTTTTCATGAATTAATATATTTTCTCTAATTTTTTTCTTATGAAATGATAAAGCTACCCATTTCATTATGTATGAGGTCAATTTTATTTTATTGGAGATAAAATTAACGTAGATATATGACCGAACCTAACCAACCCTACCTAACCTAACCTAACCTATCTTTATAGGTTAGGTTGGGTTAGGTAGCCGAAAAAGTTAGGTTAGGTTAGGTTAGGTAGGTTAGGTAGTCGAAAAAACATTAATTCATGAAAACTTGGCTTATTAGGCAAATCGGGCCTTGCATAGTAGGCTGAGAAATGTGTTCTGGCTACTAGGTACGACATATATATATATATATATATATATATATATATATGTCGTACCTAGTAGCCAGAACTCACTTCTCAGCCTACTATTCAAGGCACGATTTGCCTAATAAGCCAAGTTTTCCTGAATTAATATATTTACTATAATTTTTTTCTCATGAAATGATAAAGCAACCCTTTTCTCTATGTATGAGGTCAATTTTTTTTTATTGGAGTTAAAATTAACATAGATATATGACCGAACCTAACCAACCCTACCTAACCTAACCTAACCTATATTTATAGGTAAGGTTAGGTTAGGTAGCCAAAAAAAGCTAGGTTAGGTTAGGTTAGGTAGGTTAGGTAGACGAAAAAACATTAATTCATGAAAACTTGGCTTATTAGGCAAATCGGGCCTTGAATAGTAGGCTGAGAAGTGCGTTCTGGCTATTAGGTACGACATATATATATATATATATATATATATATATATATATATATATATATATATATATATATATGTCGTACCTAGTAGCCAGAACGCACTTCTATGCCTACTATTCAAGGCCCGATTTGCTTAATAAGCCAAGTTTTCATGAATTAATATATTTTCTCTAATTTTTTTCTGATGAAATTATAAAGCTACCCATTTCATTGCGTATGAGGTCAATTTTTTTTTATTGGAGTTAAAATTAATGTAGATATATGACCGAATCTAACCAACCCTACCTAACCTAACCTAACCTATCTTTATAGGTTAGGTTTGGTTAGGTAGCCGAAAAAGTTAGGTTAGGTTAGGTTAGGTAGGTTAGGTAGTCGAAAAACAATTAATTCATGAAAACTTGGCTTATTAGGCAAATCGGGCCTTGCATAGTAGGCTGAGAAGTGCGTTCTGGCTACTAGGTACGATATATATATATATATATATATATATATATATATATATATATATATATATATATATATATGTACATACATATGTAAAGTCTCAATCACGGTTCGACTGATTAATTACCTAATATAGCTCACTTTGTCCAAATCCCTTATCGAAATTACACAGGGCTTTTTAATGAGCACTTCCAAATATACACAAATACTGTATTATTATTATCATATGTACTGTTGTCTCTATGTTTAAAGATAAATGTTTTTATTCGCACTTGATTATATATAGTAATTAATGCATATGGTGAAGAAGCTTCCCTGAATTTCTCAAAGCCTTCCTTAGCATGTTTTAATAATCTCGCGATACGATTGCTTAAAATCTAGATATTTAATGATATAGAACAGTCACTCTGCTCATATTCACGTCTACTCTGCTAATATATATGATTGTAATTATATGCAAAAGAGCAGACGTGGAGATGATCAGAGTGACTATTAGACTGCCAGGCTGAGTGCCGTTACTATTGTTATGACGAGCACGTGGTCTGCGTGGTCGGCGCCACACATTTGTAAACAAGGACCAGCGGCGGTCCATTCAGGACTCCGGAGCTTGACACACACATTCACACACTCACAGTGGTAGCTGCTGAACTTGACCTTGTCTGCACTACTAACAGTGCAGATTAATTAATCTTCAAGCTGTTCAGTCATCTGGAGACGAGATCTTGAAGCACACTGCATATATCGTTAAGACGCGACACAATAAATGGCAGACCTTGCTCTAGGTAGTACATTATTTTAGTCGGGAAATACACAATAAACATTTTAATTTATAATTATGGTTTGTGTTATATATTTTAGTGTGTGTAAAAAAAAAACCCGTTGGGTTAAGTAGTGTTAAATTGTATGTCCATTTTTGTGTGGAGCTTTAGTGTTCATTTATGCAAGCTAGGTTAGGTGCTAATTGGTTAATTAGCAGCTGTGCTTCTAGTAGTAAGGAGAACTCTTCAGTGTGTCACAAGCCATCACTAAGTATTGTGAACACTATCTCTTTCAGTTAAAAAAAAAATAATGCTAGTTTCCAAGGTTCACTGCAGCATTGTGCATTTGGATCATCTTGTATCTAAAGAGTGCAATACCCCATGGGGGGGGGGGGGGGTTGCTTCAAATGTGTCCATAATATTTAGATTGAGTAAAAGATTATCTAGGTTTGCATTTAGCCTACAGTATGAAGTGCATACCAATTATCCATTGAGATACCTAATTATACAGCTACAGCATTTAAGTTTAAGGCCCATGCAGGAATACCTGTGCAGAAAAGTAACGACTGCATCACTTGTATAGGTATACAGTACTGACGAGGATATTGTTCAGTATAGACATAGGTAGTATAGTCGGGTTCGTTCTTGACTTGCAATTAGGATACCTGGGTGGGACAGAAATGGTTGGGCAAGTTTCCTATTACATAATGCCTCTATTGTAGGGTTGCATCTTGGGGAGAGTCAATAGTTCAATTATTGGGGGGACTAATAATAAGCCCAATATGTATATATACACAAGCTGCCTGTCCCCAATAAAATGAATTATGTGGTACATATACAATGTATGTACTATTTGATACATAATGTAGCATAACCTGTGAAGTATCACAGATGGCTGCTAATTGTAGCCTACAGTTTTATTCATTCTATATTAGCCTAACTTAATAATAGTGTATTTTCAGAGAAAATACACAGCTTGGGATTAGGTTAAGCCATTTTATTTTATTTCCTTGTACAGTACCATAATCTAGCATATTAGTTCATTATTTGAGGATGTCACTATTTTATACATTTCCAGTGATAATGCAGTTACTAAACACAGAATTTATAAATATTTGGATATGAAAATAATATGATTATAATAAAGTTCAGCCAGGCTTCCTTCAAAACAATTCCTTAAGAATCAGGCTTCACCTAACTTGCCTGGTGAAATGTTAAACCCACTCAAATCTTTACACAATTCATTCACACGCACAGTACTGTATTTAGTTTTATTATTACAACCTTACACACAGAAATCACAATTGCGTGATGCATCAAATGAACAAATCCACAATGGCCGTGGATTCGAACTTGTTCGAATCCTCGTCACGGCCCCTGTGGATTTGTTCATTATTACAACCTGTTTGTATCTTATGCATTTACCCTCTGTCAGGTACTGCTCAATTTTTTTATGGTGACATACATTGCTAGATTTGATGGCAGAATGATTAACAGTGCAACCAGGCTCAAATAAAATTACTATTCATGCTGTTTTATTTCAGAGGCTGATGAGGCCACGAGCACCTCGGATGTAGCCAAGTCGATTAAACCTATTGACAAGACTACTGTTCACCGCATTTGTTCTGGCCAAGTGAGTGGGTTATAATTAAGCATAAGGTAATAGGAATGAAGTTACAAATATTGGTATCCCATAATTGCAGATAGAAAGTCTGTTGTGCTTATTGAGGTCCACCCCCCCCCCCCCCACCCCGGCCTAATATTGACCTTTCCGAGATGTAACCCACAACAATTTTCTAATTCTCAGGTACCGATTTACTGCTGGATTTACAGAGGCATCTGGTGAGAGGAAACTTTGCCAAAATGCATCTGTTCTCCACAGGAATTGAACCTTGAATTTTTCGGCTTTGACCTGACTGCACAGACTACTGTGACACTGTCCAATTCAGAAAGTCTTCACATTTAATTTCTAATGATATTATTTGCACTACAACTTAATGGTAGATCTTGGAAAATGTTCTTATGTATACTGTACTTTAATAATGTACTGTTCTGTATAATGTAATGAATTTATAGAAAGGTTTTTGAAAACAGTTGAATGAACCTTCTGGAGGTCAGAGCTAGAGAGTTCACCCACTGCCTAGGGAAATGAGTCGAACCAGCATGGCTATTGTTTAGCCATGTCCTTGTAAAAGCAGGACGTTGTCTAAGGGGAAAAAAATGTGGTATAAGCTCAGACATGATTTTTTTTATTTCTAAAACCCTTCCAATTAGCCATAAAAAAAGTACTATACACAACTACATACTGTATTCACAAATATTACCCCTTTGAATAACAGATGCGTTATTTGAAGTGAGCGTATTTTCATTAGAAGTCAGTTTGGTATGTAATTTAAACTATTTGTTGGTAAAAAGTTAAAACTTTTGCAGGTTGTGTTAACACTCGCAACGGCTGTCAAAGAGCTGGTTGAAAATGGTCTCGATGCCGGTGCTACCAGTGTGGAGGTACGTCTTCGTGATCATGGAACCACGCTCCTGGAAGTCTCTGATAATGGAAAGGGAGTTGAAGAACGGGATTTTGAAGGCCTGAGTATGTAAAATTCGTAATATAACACATATTTTAATTTTAATAAAATATTTGCATATGTCTTTAGGTGATAAGAATGTACGAATTAAGTTAACTGTAGAAGGCCTCCTGAACTATATATGAGGCAGCTCCTATTTACATCCACTCACTCATTCATATACTGTATGTACATGTCTAATGTGAAACAATCGCGTGATCCCATTTCCATTGTGTTACTCAGTAATCTGTTCCACAAATCGACAACTGTTTCCAAACCTGTATTTACTATGGTCTTTCCCAAGTCTAAACATGTGGCTACCGACTAGAAGAGTTGCCAGAGGAAGCAAGGTGTTAGATAAAAATATTATGTATAAAGGAAAACTTATTTACTTTTGTTATTTAAGGTTCAGTTTACCTTTAGTATGCTGCATGATGTTCTGAGATGCGAGAGTGTATTTAAAATAAAAGAACCTTCAGATGCAGATGTGTAGTGTTGCCTGATATTACTTAATGTTAATTTTTCTGCCAGATTGTTCTGGCCCAAATTTATTGCATTTCTTTCCGTTACAATTTACACATTTTCAAAGCCTTTGTGGGTGAATGAAGATGATTGTAAATGATGAAACAAAACAAAAAATTGGGATTTAGGCCTTGAGTAAAATTCTGGAACTGGTTACATTTATTTAGCACTATGGTTTCCCTCTGAATATGATTTGCAAATTGTTGGAAATTTGGTGGATGCTCGGGTGAATAGAATGGCGTGTTCAGTTGTCCCACCCTGCCGAGGATTTGAACCCCTGAGCCTTTTGTGAGGAGATTACTAGTAATTACACAGGGTGCCCCATGTAGCACTTCAGCCATCCCATGTTGATTGGTAAAAAGTTTATTGGTAAAAAGTTTATGGTGATACAGTAAATACAGATTACTGTACTGCATTATTATTTATATATATTTTATATTTTTTTTTCCCTTATCACTTATTGTTATTAATACTTAGGTACAGTATATGCAAGCTTTGAATTAGAAGAAAATTTTAATGTTTTCTTTGTCAATCTGAAATGTCCTGTAATACTTCTGTATATGTTATATAAATATACAGTATGTATGTATATTGTATATAAAACTTTTGTTCTTTTGACTTTTAATAAATGTGTGTGAAGGAAGATTGAGCTGCAGATTTATTACTAAGGGCTTTGAGTAGTATGAATAAAATTGATGAAGCCAAAAGATCTGGTAAATGATTTTTGGTTCACTGATGGCATGTGGGTGAATTACTGCTTAAGACATTTTAAATTGAAATGAGGAAGCCTTTACATTTTTATATAGATTGATAAGTTATATTCTCAATGTCTCGCTTCCTCCATCACCACACAAACCATTTCATTCTTTCAAGCTCTCTTAATCTCTTCCACTACTCTCATTTATATATTTGTCTACACGTCACTTCAGACACTGGTCATTGGCCTCTGCCATATAATGTTGTCTTGGCAGCAAATATCATCCTACAAACATATCCATGCCAGCTAAGTGTTACATATTCCCCACTCTACTACTCAACATATAATATTGACACTTTTCACTCATACCACATCTCTTATACTTCCTCATTGTAATACTGTACCCATACTTGCACAAGCTGCTCTTCTCACCGCTCATTTCCACTGTCTGAACTCTTAAGCGCACTGCCTTTTTCCATACCCAAATTTCACATATATCTCAGGGCTGGATGTATATAGTAGTACAGTATTTCATTTTTTGACTCCTGTACTAACGTTCCTTCATTATAATATTTGCCTCTCAAACTATGATACTCACTCTTATTTTGCCTTCCATTTTTATATAATACCATCCCAAAATTATTACCTCATTCAATATTTCTTCCCTACTTTTATCCAAGTTCAAATTGCTGTCCTGCTACATATGAAGATTTACAAATTTCACAACGTTCCATTACCATCTCTCAAATACCATAATCCGAACTTTTTTTTTACATTGACCTTCAGCTGCTCTTGCAAACGCTATGAAAATTATTCAATCTTTTTACAATTCCTTCTCACTTTCAGCAAAGGTAACTACATTTGCATATATAGACGTGTCAATAACTGTTCCACTTCATGTGTACTTGCCTTTACATCCCTAACTGTACCATCCATCCCTATTTAACAAGCCAGGAAGACATTACATAATACTGTCTTGTGCCCACCCCAACTTTAAAAATTCTTTAAAAATTTTCTAAGCTATGTATACTTGCGCAACCCGTTCTCACAAATTCGTAAAGTCAATATTGACTTATTAACTATATGCATAGGTGATATACTAAACAATAGATACCCTTAAAAAGCTTCATAGAAAACACCGACCTTACCTAACCTTGTTAGTATCTTAAGATAAGCATCTTATTGCTTCGTAATTACAATTATTACTTAACCTATTATGGCGGGTTGGTCAGTAAGTTATTCTGGTGGCCATAATAACCGTCTAGAGGTTGATAGCCCTTAAGCCCAACATCAGTTCAAGCACAGTTTGCTCCCTAGTCAATGGTCCCAAGTTTGATTGCCGGGCAATGTTATGCACATTCCCTTTCACCTGGTACCTTTCAAACCTAAAAGTAAACGGATACCAGAGAGTTCTTAATTTTTTACAAATATGTTTAGTTTTTAATGAATTGGTCTTTAAAAATGTGACATTAAGTGAGAAGACCTAGTTTTGTAGAGCACTGCATATTGATCTGACCCTCATAAACATTCCTCTAGTTATCCCTCACATCGTTTAAGCTACATTTATAATTTTTACTGTTGCATTTATAATCAAACTATTTTACTCCTTCATTTACTTCCCTTTACCTTCGTGTACATGAATGATAGTACAGGTGCACAGGTATTTGCAGTTTATACCACTTCTCAACATTGCAGGTTTTCATACTGTACAATTTCATTTGATACATGGATTTATTTTGGCTTTCCTGTTAAAAACGAAACAAAAATTGGCATCGGATACATAGTCACATTATGTATCTCTCTTTTTCTTTTATCTTATCTATAGCCTTAAAACACCATACTTCAAAGATTCAAGATTTTGGGGACCTAGTTGGAGTGAAGACATATGGTTTTCGTGGTGAGGCTCTCAGTTCACTGTGTGCACTCAGTGACCTCACTGTCACAACACGCCATACCAGTCAAGAGGTCGGAACAAAGTTGGTGTACGATCATAATGGCAAACTTGTTACCAGAACTCCAGTATCGAGACAGGTTAATGGAATATTGATACAGTACAAGTAATTGGATTACTACACACTAAATGATAAATGATAAAATTATTACAGTATACTGTATAAAAATTTATATATACAGTATTAATCAGCATTTGGTGTGAAACTAATTAATATACATAATTGAAATATTCATAGTTGAAATTAATTCTCTAGTTTTCACTTTATGCCTACAGTATTCTTAACCAGGAAATCCCCCCTTCCCCCCTCTTTCGCCAGGTAGGCACAACAGTCTCACTACAAGGACTCTTCTCTACCCTGCCAGTGCGACACAAGGAGTTTCATCGCAATATCAAGAAAGAATTCAGCAAAATGGTTCAAGTGCTCTACTCTTACTGTTTAATATCTACTGAAGTCAGGTATGCTTTCTTAGATTACTATGACACTAGTATGTGTACATGAAAGCAATTGCTCTTAAAAAAAAAATGTGAAAGAGGAATGTAACATTGGCCTCCTTTGTCTGCAGAAATTCACATATCATACTTCTATGTTTGGGTTTGCATAGATAAGCAATGCATCTCTCTTAGCTTGCACTACTCGGTCACTTCCCTTGACAGGTGTCACTCTCTAGGACTCGGCACACTCCAACGAGGGGTCAGTGTGACCTCCATCATGACAAATTTAATGGGCTTCTTTTTAACCTTTATATGGCTTTGATTATTATCTGCAATTTCCTTGCAAATGGCAACTGTGCTCAAGTTGCCATTTGCAGTTGATCGTTATGGATTTTCATTACACGTATTTCTTTTTTAACCGCACTTGGATGTAGGACATTTACATAGCTTAGCAGTCTTAAGGGTTTAACCACATATATGGGGGAAGGGATCACTGGAGATTACTCAATCCAGCCCTGAATGACTGTCATATGATTTATTCATCTACTCTCAAAGAACCTTCACCAAGAAGTACCTGGAATCAGAGATTGCCAAGTATTACTTTGCTAATGCTAACTACTAACTGCAAGTTGAACACCTGGGCACTACCTCTACCTGCTAACCAGTGATGGCTCTGTGTGTCAAACAGGACACATAGATTCCTCCTCCACTCATTCCTTCTCTTCTCCATTAGTGGTGTTTCTGCAATCAGCTCTTTGAGCTGATTCGTAGTAAAATATTTTTATGTGCTATTGACCAATGCTTTAGGTGAACCTTTCACTTGAACTGCGTACCCACTCTCTTTACTGGACGTGAACTCTTACCAAAATCACCGTCAGCAGATTTTTCTTTTGCTAGTTTGGTAGAATGTTTATCTGGATCTTTCTCCTCTTCGAGTTGAGCCTTCCTCTCATGAGTGCCCTGGAAACCATGGCCCAGGCATTAGGCTGTACATGAGCATTGTGGGTTTGGCTGGTCGTGACATCACACTGGATACATTCATGATTAATTTGGCCCCAGGATCTTGTGTATTAGTGACATGCATTTTTTTTTTGTGAGCTTGTTTGTTTTTATTCAGTTATCGCCACCTGTCCTCACTTTATCTTGTCTTCAAGTGATAGAGTTAGGTTAAGTCATCCTAAGATCATGACCCGTGTAACCAGAGGCAGTAATTTCTTGAGGCACTAAGCCAGAATGGCTCTTTTAGCACCATAAAAGTCACAGATAAGAGCAAGGTTCTTATATACAGTAGATGAAAAAATGTAATTACAGTATATATTTTGCATGATGCACACACTTATTTTTCAAACAGGATAACATGCACAAATCATACTGATAAGGGCAAGAAAAGTATTGTTGTGTCAACTAGTGGACATTCAACTGTAAAGGAAAACATCTCTTCAATTTTTGGAGTCAAACAGGTAATTATTTAAACTAAACAAATAATTTTAATAAAGTAACAACAAATTGAACATTACTTTCAAGGAATTATCTCCAGCTTAACTCTTTGAATTGCTATTCTAACAATTAGGAATAACATAGAGAATAATTGTGTGTTTCTAGAATGTTAAAGAAGACCGGACAAAAATAGGGAAAATGGGTGACTTTGTGATGCGAGGAGCTCATCACACCATTGTGTAAGGGAAGCAGTCCCACAACACAAGGGTGGGAGTCATTGGATTCAAAGCCTATTTTCTGTATCCTTCGTTATGAAAAGCACAAGCAAAATCATATCTAAAACTCATACCTGCCTGTGACCCCTTAGAAACATAAGCAGGCTTGTATGACAGTGTGGAAGGTTTAGGGGCTAAATGAAGACGAAAGGAGGATGGACGTGATTAATGTTTTTTAAGGACGGGATGTTTGACGTGCATTATGTGAAGCGGTGCTTGGAAGGGTGAATGTGGTATGTGGCGGTGAATGACTTCTCGTGGCACAGTTCATTGTGTTTGTTAGCAAAATTCAAGTTCGAGTTAAGTATGTTTTAATTGCATATATTCAGTATGTTAATAGAATGAAAATGAAAATAAATTGGAACAGTTTAGAGTGAGATTGGCACAATACCAAAAATTGTAATCAGTTATGAAAAGTTTAAATACTGAAGTGGGAAAATGAGAAACTGATGCAATGCATGTATGGTATGCCAGGAGTATATGGCAGTGGCTACAGATTTAAAGAATTGTGGTGTGAAAAACTCAACCCGTTCTCGCAAATTCGTAAAGTCAATATTGCCTTATTAACTACGTGCATAGGTGATATACAAAACATAATAGTTACCCTTAAAAAGATTCATAGAAAACACCGACCTTACCTAACCTTGTTAGTATCTTAAGATAAGCATCTTATTGCTTCGTAATTACAATTATTACTTAACCTATACCTATTATAGGTTAGGTAATAATTGTAATTACGAAGCAATAAGATGCTTATCTTAACATACTAAGTAGGTTAGGTAAGGTCGGTGTTTTCTATGAATCTTTTTAAGGGTATCTATTATGTTAAGTATGTCACCTATGCACATATTTAATAAGTCAATATTGACTTATTAAATTTGCGAGAACGGGTTGGAAAAACTATGGCTGTGTCATTCAGGTGCTCCTGAAAGTACGAATCAGTTTTCATAGTCATGATTCATGAAGAGACAGGCAGAACAGTATTCAGTCACTAGAGTAATAATGACTGGGGCAAGGAGGAATGCTTATTGATATTACTGTACTGTACTTTATTAGTAATATATAATGTCTCTCTTGGTTATTTTGGATGTATTTTTCACTTAAAACTATTTAGCTTTTCAACCCTAATTACCTAGAAGTAGAGTGAAAAAAATAGATAGCTAACATATACTTTATATTTAATTCAATTGTAAGTATTTTATAAATATGTGCCAAAACCATCTGTTGATAAGACTATATTAATCACAAGGAATTTGTTATTGTTGCTAAGGTTTCCAGTTTGCTAGAGTTGCAGCAAGAAAGTGCCTCATCTGATGTATTAGCAGAGTATGGAGTGGACTCAGACATTGTAGCTACCCAGGGTATGTTGGAGCACATTCTCACTGATATCAAGTCAAGTAGCAATGGCTTTGTTCTCATAACTAGCCTGATTAATTTGTTTATATTTTAATAATAATGATAATAATAATAATTATTATTATTTATTCAGACAGTAGGTACAAATTAAAGTGGTTACGTAATGGGTAAAGGGATTATTGTTTATTGTATAAAGCCATTAGTTTCACACAGCAGTTTTAACAGATTAGGTCGGTCAATGCAAGATCCCAGAATGTCCTTATGCTACCATGATATACTGTATATACAGTATTGTATATGTATGGACTCACTTCATTCCAACTTAAAGTATTTTGGTGAATGCGAATACAGGTGTATAAACATTTTATAACGGTAATCTACACATACACAGAGAACACACTGTTCACTTTGGAAGGATACGTATCATCGTGTGCCCATGGTCAGGGACGCTCAGCAGCTGATCGTCAATTCTACTTCATCAATTCCCGACCGTGTGACCCAGCTAGAGTGAGTACTGGATCTCTCTCAGGAGACGCCTAATGTGGCCAGAGGCCAGAGGCTAATGAAAATTCAGAGATTTTCCATGCTAAAATACTTCCTTGTAAAAGCATTTTGAAATCGAAAGCATGTTATTGTAACTGCAAGTGTGATAAATTTTTATTTTCTGTCACAAATTCATTTTATAACATTAAGTAATATGAGACAACCTTCATTACTGTGATATTTAGTTTTTATGTAATACAATGGTCTCAGCTGTCCAAAGCAGAATTAACAAAAGAAAATAGGTTGGCATAACATCTCAAATATAAACAAAAATGGCCTTCAGAATTTTTTTGCATGATTGTAATTGGGATAATTTTTTATCCAAATTATTCAAATATCTGTCAAACATATGGTAATATTTTCAATTCTGTACTGTATTGTTGAAGATAAACACAGAAAATTCAACCAATTCGGTAAAAATATAAACTATTTAAAAATCCATAAAAGTTATTCTCCATATACATTTTCTGGCCAAATAGCACTCTAGTCCTTTATATACATTACTGTATTTGCAAGTGAGATACTGTATAGTATATTTATTGTGTGATAAGCCTCAGATCTTTTAACTTGTTTACAGGTGACAAAAGTAGTTAATGAAGTATACCATCACTACAACCGCCACCAATTCCCTTGTGTAGTGCTGAATATACGACTCAAGGAGGATGATGTTGACATCAATGTCACCCCTGACAAGCGTCAAATTCTCATCAACAACGAAAAGCTCCTATTAGCGACCATTAAGGTTAGTTGAACATTGGTTAGTATTGTGTGATAGTTTATGGGAAATACAAGCCTTAGGAATATTCTTTGAGTATATAAGTATACGCTCGGACGACCGGGGAGCCGGTCGGCCGAGCGGACAGCACGCTGGACTTGTGATCCTGGGGTTCGATCCCAGGCGCCGGCGAGAAACAATAGGCAGAGTTTCTTTCATCCTATGCCCCTGTTACCTAGCAGTAAAATAGGTACCCGGGTGTTAGTCAGCTGTAACGGGCTGCTTTCTGGGGGGTGGAGGCCTGGTCGAGGACCGGGCCGCGGGGACACTAAAGCCCCGAAATCATCTCAAGATAACCTCAAGATAAGATACAGGTGGCTCATGCTCTGTACAAGTTTGCATATCATGAATTTGGATCAGTACGATTTTGTTTTTAACACCAAAATTCTAACTGTGCAAGAATGGATTTGCCTGTAATTAACCGGTGCACAATATTCACATAATAGAAACATTGTTTTGGTTTTCTACAAACAAATACCTCCCTCTGCCTGTGTGACTATAGAGACAGTATTTTTGTATTTAATGCATTTCTTTGTATTTACATACATGCAATTCTGCAATTTGTTTTGTACATGCAGTACTGTATTTGAGGCTTGAAAAAAAAAGTTGAATTATTTATTAATAATGTTCATTTATGTGCACTGTATTAGAGATTTTTAGAACAAAAAGGGGACTTTTGGATGTCTGAAGTGTAACCCGATTTTCTTAATAAATAGTTAAATTTACATTTAACAGATTCACTGCACAAGATTTCCTCTTAATGCATCCCTCACATAGATTGAGGACCATCTACTGAATACAATAGACCATCTACAGGATCATCTACAGTAGAATACAGTTAATGTTAACTACTGAATATAGTATATGATTTCCTTTTTCTTTGTGGAAACCAATTGTTACACTTCCAGTGCCAGTCCAATTAGTTTTCCATTTATGGATTCCATAAAGTAATGAAAAAAAAAAGAGGTAGTATTGTGAAAGCATGGGTTGTCATAATTTAAAGTGAATAGACGTCGGAAGCGAGAGATTCATGTTATACCATAAAAGCATAGTTGTTAAGAACTCCGTAGATGTAAGGAACTTGGAAATATTAACAATCAAGATAATATGACGTAATGTACTGGCATGTTGACCAGACCACACATATGTAGAAAGTGAAGGGACGACGACGTTTCGCTCCGTCCTGGACCATTCTCAAGTTGATTGTGACTCATCCTCTGCATATGGACTGGCATGTAGAAATTTAGTTGCTAAAATTTAGTGCTTGGGAGTGCCCAGTGTGCAGGTTCGAATCCTCCTCACGGCTCCTACTTATTTTCTCATTGATGCATCACGTTACTGTGATTTTTGCTAAAGCTGTATAAAAGGGGGGCCAGGCTTAGATATCTAAAACAAGTTCTAAATCAGGTAGAAAGGTGAGAATGAAAGTATGTGTGTGAAAGTGTATTGATTATGGCCTATTTGGTTCATGATGGTGATATTGTTTGCACATTTTTGTAGCTGAAATATAATGTTTTTCATATGCAAGGATCATGTAATATTCACATTTCAGAATTTACAGCAATGTTTGAATTGGGAATAGAGAACTGTTTTTGCAAACCATCTAGACACTATTACTGCATAATGGCTAAAAAAAAGCTTTCAATATTTTTATCTTTCAGACATCCTTGATTCGGCTTTACGAGAACATCCCTTCTTCATACAGTATGCAGAATACATCCATGAGCTCACCACTTAGTAACTCTTTCAACAATGCCTATGGCAGTCCAAAACCTGCTGTTGCCAGTCCATTGGCCTCAACTATGGCCAGTACTGGAAAAGTGTCTGCTCTTAGTCAGAGGTTTGGCCACAGACCTCTGGGATCACCAACATCCGAGGTATTCCCACCGTCTCAAGGTGGTCTCAAGCGTTCTCTCTCTTACGGTTTCTCCTCCAACAGCAGCCCAAACAACAAACGTAAGTTAACCTAACGCGAAGGTCAGATCTTACACGGTGTCATTTAAACAATCTTATGCAGAGCAGACTTGGTATTGGAAGCTTCAGGGTGGTGAGAGGAGGTTTGAGCCTTTTCTTGTGACTTAACCTAGCATATATGCAGTGAATAATGATAAGGGTCTCTGATAGTGTGTATTTACTATACTTGTTTACTTAAAACACAGCTGAGATTAGTACTCGTGAAATTGGCCGAGAAGTTTCCAAACCTCAGGTCATAAATTATGCTTTGTAATACAGTAGCTGTATAATGATAATAATAATAATAATAATAATAATAATAATATAGGATAAAACCCACACTTGTGTATTTGTGAAATTTATGTAAGGAATTTACACCAAGTCTTTTGCACTCTCCTGAGTGCTTTATCAAGGTCTGAGGGTGTGATTAGGATAAAACGTACATCTCAACGTCTAATCCATCAAATTTATTCCTTACATAAATTTCACAAATACACAAGTGTGGGTTTTTATCCTTTGTTGTTATGTCTATGAGAGGGCATTACCATTACTAAAATAATAATATATACAGTTCATGCAATTTATACTTACTGTACAATCACATCATTTATTTACAGCTCAAATGCTCACTTTTATGTTTTTCATTAAAAAAATATTCCAAGAGTTAAGTTAAATAACTTAAGTAACTTAATAACCTAAGTTAAATTGTTTGTAATATATCATGCTCATTGAACATCATTGAAAATTGAATTAATCTTTCCTATAATATACTTAACCATTTTTAATGTTCACTAAGTTTAAGATTTGAGAATTATCAATGAAATACTAATGTTAATCAGACCTCTTCCTGAATGTTTTATAAATCTTAAACATAGGCTTAGAAAAATAAAGGTTTCAACTTTCCGGCTAAGCATATTATGCTAACCTAAATACTTTTATTTGTTAAAAAATTTCGATATTTTAACCATTTTATTTATGTTATGCTGTTTATAAATCTAAATAGAACATTAACTATAATAATAATGGTTTGTATATTTTGTATACTTACTGCAGTGATAGAATGAGGCATTATATGAGTAATGAAATAATTGATAAAATGAAGACTTATTAGCTACGTTTCATTTTTTATTGATGGAATCACACATTCTTTGTGTTGCTTAGAATAATGCACCGTAACTTTTACGTTCATTTTCATTTTAACAAACACCAGGTAAATTAAGATGAATATGATTATTTTTTCGAACAGAACCAAAGTTGACATCATTCCTGAAGAAAAGTAAATTGGAAGAAGCCGATGTTGGCAGTTGTGATGAGACATCAGCAGCTCTAGCAGCCACTTCAAGTCTAGAGGGCATTCAACCACTGTCAGACCAGTGGGCCTCCGAAGACAGGACGGAGGAGACCGTGGAGGAGGAGGAGGAGGATAGTGTGCATGACATGGGGTTGGAGGAGAAGGAAAACCGTCTTGAATCTGTTGAGATGGAAATGAGTGATGAAGTGCCTGTTGCTTGTCAGGGTAATACTCAGGATAATTTGGAAAATTCTCTGGATTTTCCCAATACCCAAGACTTGAATGATTTGTCCAACTCTAAAGGACCTGATGAGAGTCATTGGCAATCTGATGCCGATAACCATAATCATAATACTAACAATAATGAATTAGAAAAAAATGAGCCAAAATCTGAATGTCTTTCCAATAATACTAGAACAAATTTAAATGGAATTTCTGTACTTAAAAAAATGTCAACATTTTCTCGGTCACTACCAACATCTTTAATGAGCAAAAAGGCTCATAATGCTACAAATGAGTTCTTGAGCAATCTTCTTGCTAAAAAATCTGGGATTAATGGAGGAAAAAATGTATCTGCCAAATGCAGTCATTTATCAAATGAACACACCAATGATAAATGTGAGGAGGTGGAGATAGTATTTGAAGACTTAGCTCCAAAGGATGCTGAAGATTTAGAAACTCCTGAGGAAGACATACATAACACTGAACTCCCCTCGAGAAAAGTAATGCTGTGTGAAGACTATAATGCAAGTGAATTTACAGGTAAGAGAAAGTCAAAGCAGATCATCTTCAGTTTAGAAACATTGAGGGCAAGAATCAGTGCTTCAAAGGCAAAGGCTGCACACGAAGATATTATACGCAAGTTTCGTGCTGCAATAAACCCCATGGATAATGCTGCCGCTGAAGATGAGCTCAGAAAAGAGATTTCAAAAGATATGTTTGCAAAGGTATGTGTACTTATTGGTACAAATTACAATTAATAACATACACTTTAGACTTTCAGCCTTCAAAATAGGTCATTCATTCAGGAAGAGTTGCATGTGTGATGTGCATTACCCAACTTGTGCAATCATTTTGCATCATAGTAATACAACTTGCTATTACCAATGTGAGATGTGTTCTTTCTTGATCATTTCATAGTTCTCTTTAATATTTGTTTATAATACAAATTTGTTTACATTGAAATGTATAAAATGGGTATGTGCTATTTATTGATGAATGATATACAGTACAGTATATGACTTAGTTTATATTCTACTTTTTGGAGAAAAAAAAACATGTTACATACTGTACCTAGTTTTTCAGTTTGTATTATTTATTATGAGAATACGTTATGAATAAATGTCAAACATAATACAGTAGTGTTCTTTCTTTTTTTCAGATGAAAATTTTAGGCCAGTTCAATTTAGGTTTCATCATTGTGTGTCTCGGTTCCGACTTGTTTATTGTTGATCAACACGCTACGGATGAGAAGTACAATTTTGAGATTCTCCAGCAAACATGCACTCTACAGAATCAACGACTCATCATTCCTCAAACACTTGAGCTAACTGCAGTGAATGAGTCAATATTGCTCGATAACATCGAAATCTTCAAGAAGAATGGATTTGAATTCAAGGTGGAAGAGGACAAGCCTGTTGGTCGTAGGGTCGCCCTCGTATCGATGCCTTTCAGCCGTGGATGGGAATTTGGAAGGGAAGACATTGAGGAGCTTATTTTCATGCTTTCGGATGCACCTGGTATCATGTGTCGGCCATCACGTGTACAGGCCATGTTTGCATCGAGGGCATGTCGGAAATCAGTCATGATTGGTACTGCGCTAACCCATACACAGATGCAAAAGCTTGTCTGCCATATGGGTGAAATTGAGCAGCCATGGAATTGCCCACATGGAAGACCGACAATGAGACATCTTATTAACCTTGATATAATAGCAGCTCCAAGATGATAGGTGGAAGGGTTTTTAAGAATTTAAGAATAATTCAAACAAATACCTAATAAAATTGTATTTCAGATAAATTTTTGTATATATATATTCTGTATCTAATTTTATAGGGTATAACAAATGCATGAAACCAGATAAATTTATGTATACTGAATAATACAGTACTTGTATTAAAACAGAACCATAAATTGTAATATGTTCAGTGAGACATCAAATATAGAATCCCAAGTGATAATTGTATAACTGAAGATAATTATGAATAAATGAATTAAAATACTGTACTGTACAGTACAGTACTTACATTTGTATATTTAAATGAAAATCTTGTATAATTCCCGTAGTCTATTTTTAAATAAAATACTGTACATGTATAGTACTGTAATTTCATTTATCAATACAGTACCTTGAAGGGTATGACTATTTTTTTATTTAATAGCTAAACAGTACAGGTATTATGTACACCAAGCCCATCCTGTGAGCAGTACAGAAAGGTTACAGAGGCACATAATAACTGACCCAATGGTCTTTTACTTAAGCAATTTAAAGGAATACAGTACCTGGAGAGGATTCTGGGAGTTCTTCTACTCCCGAGCCCAGCCTGAGGCCAGGCTCGACTGTGATAACAGTCCAACAGGCTGTTGTTTGGAGTAACCCGCAGTGATTAAAAATGTTTTTTTTATATATTTTGTTTATAGTACCCTTGTCTTCTTTTCCGTATCTTCATATCGGCATGTTTTAGTGAAAAGTTAAATGCATAACTTTAATCTCTTACCATCTTTGAATCAGTTATTAAATCTGCAGTTTCTTTCATATAAGTAGGGTTTATCAAACACATTCTTAATTGATTTACTTGCAGCCTCAATAATCAATGAGAGGATCAAGTGCATACATCCTCATTCAGTTTAAGTGCATCCTCACATCTCAGTAGAGGTGCACATATTACACCCCCATTTGGGTATATTCTTGTTGCCTATTGAATCACAAGAGAAATACCTAAAGAATGTTGAGATTCTCTTGTTGTTGACTTCTCTCCATGTAAGAAATTTCCTTAACTTTAGTATCAATTTTCTCAATCCTGAAACTAGACATAGTTGATGAAAGTATGACAATGTAAAATCAGGGGTCAACTTTAACACTCGGAATCCCATCATCATCATTAGTACATAACCAGATCCAACATGTGGTTAGAACAAGACATACTTTGTGTGAAGTTTTTATAACTAAACGTATCAATATTATACAAGAACTTAATGTGATCATCATTTATGACATCAACCTTAAATGGAAGTTGCCATACACACATTCGCTCACCCCTGCATGCAGTTCAGCGAAATCATCACAGAAAACTTTCACTAAGAAGCGGTGGTCTGTATATCAACAATCTTAAATGGTTTATTTCTGATATTAAAATAAATTTCCAAATATTCGAAGCTCTGATAATTTCTAATACCCTTCACTCATATGTTCTCAAATATTTTACATAATAACCTGACACCTAATAGTAAAGAAGGGTCTTTAATATATTAGGTGTCAGGGTCTTTAATATATTAAAGACCCCCTATACACTCGGGTCTTGGGGGCGATTGTGAAAAGTGTGTCAGGAACAAATTTACTGGTAACTACAGAATCGGACTCGCTCAACTATGTTTCAGTCAATACAACAATGTCCAGTGGTAGTTCACTCACAGTTTCTCATGGTAAAACTGTTTTGTTTTGCACAGATTGAATATTTATCACACCATTTGTTACCAAATGATATGTAAAAAGGCATGATGTTAAGGGGGTTAGCTTGTTAGCAGTCAGCCACAAATGAATTTCTTTTTAGTTCACTATTCACTATCATTTAGAGTAAGTAGATTAGCACGGAAGGATGCTGTATGGAATAGACAGAGGAGGGTATTTAACATGTGTGGTACAAGAGCCAATTGACATGTATAGAAACAAAGTAACCGAGATTCACAAAGACAATGTAAATACAGTAATTTGTTAATTGTTAGCTTAGTAAATAAGAAAGTGGGCGAAGACATGTAGACTTCACACAATACTTCAAGTACATATAGATACAGTAACAAAGTGTTAACGGAACTTGTGTACCAGTCGATTGAAGGGCACGAGGCAGGACCCAAAAGGTGAAGCTCAACCTGGGCAAAAACAACAGAACAAGTACTTCACAGCTTTAAGACTGGATTCGATAAAGAATTCGAAAGTCGAAATTAAATTATAACACAACAAGTACAACAAATTTACAGCTAGTAAGAGGGACATAAAGGGCATCCCACTTCCCGAAGTCACTAATAGGTTGTTGTTGTTTTAGATTCAGTTACTCTGAACTAAAAGTTCCAAGTAGCACGGGCTATGGTGAGCCCGCAGTGGACTTACCTGGCACAGGAGCGGTGTTGTAACTCTACTGATAGGTAAATACTTCTCCAACACTACAACAACCCCCCCCCCCACCTCCCACCCTCACAGCCCATGTTGTTGTTTAAGATTCGCTACTTTGAACAACAAAATTCAAGTAGCACGGGCTATGGTGAGCCCGTTGTGGACTTACCTGGCACAGGAGCAGGGCTGTGACTTGTCACAACCCAGATGATTGATAAAGATTAAGCCACCCAAGAGGTGGCACGGGCATGAATAGTCCGTAAGTGGTGGCCCTTTTGAGCCATTACCAGTATCAATAGAGTCACAACCCAAGTCGTACTTGAACTTGAATTGAACAGGGTTGTTGATTACCACGTAACATAATAGAAGTAGGATCCCCTTGATTGTTTCAATCGTAGGATATACCCTGTGACCGAACCAGTATTTACCAAGGTCTTTCCTCTGATTTATGATTATATTTATGAAAGCAGGAGAGAAAGTGTCAATTATGTTATCAACAACCTTAAGTACATGTAGAGCAGTGTGCTGTTATTATTTTTCTATATGAGGAAAGTAGAGAGAATAAATCAAAAGCTAGCTACAAAACTTTACAAATTACACAAATCTCATGAATTAGCCCGCAACGAAAATTTGAATATACCGCCAATAGAATAACACTTCCTCTAAGTCCACAGAAAATATTTACCGTTTAATAAATGCTACCAACGTAAAGTATATTGAATTATATATATACTTTAAAATATAATATATTACATACTTTAATTATATAAAATATTGATTGCTAGTTTGAAAACTGTATTTTTTGGGCGAAATCCTTAACGAGGTCTTTCGGGTCCTGTCCACACACACGAGGTGAGGCTCCTCCTTCTCTTCTCGGCTTTTCTCACCAATTTTTCCTGACTAAAACCAGCCGGTGCCGTAATTACTGTGAGTACACGTAGCCCAAGAGGCGTGGTGTGTGGTGTGGCCTACAGGAGGCAGGTGTGTGTAGGGGGAGGTGTGTAGAGAGCCACATGTGGAGGTAAACACACACTTGGGCGGCCATGGAGGGCCTCCCTGACGCTATGGGGGCCCACACCGCGCTCCTGCCTTGGCCTCCCTCTCCTCCTGTGGTGGTGGTTGGGGGAGGATAGTTGTTGGTGCTCGGGGAGGATAGTTGTTGGTGCTCGGGGAGGATAGTTGTTGGTGCTCGGGGAGGATAGTTGTTGGTGCTGGGGAGGGTAGTTGTTGCTCTCTCCTGTGGTAATGGTTGGGGAGGATAGTTGTTGGTGCTCGGGGAGGATAGTTGTTGTTTGGGGAGAATAATTGTTGTTTAGGGGAGGATAATTGTTGTTTGGGGAGAATAATTGTTGCTTGGGGTGGTTGTTTAGGGGAGGATAATTGTTGTTTGGGGAGAATAATTGTTTGGTGAGTAATTGTTTGGGGTGGTTGTTTGGGGTAACTGAAATGGTGGTGGTTGTAGGGGGAGGATAATTGTTGGTTTGGTGGTGGTTATGGGAAGATAGTTGGGATAGTGTTTGAGGTGGAATAGGGAGGAAAAGTGGGGTTAGGATTCTTGGCATTTTTGGTGGATTAACACAACCGTTACACAGGGAGCCTGGTGGCTGAGTGGACAGCGCTCGGTATTTGTAATCCTAGGGGGAATCCATCCCCGGTGATGGTGGAAACACATGGGCAGAGTTTCTTTTGCCCTGATGCCCCTATTCACCCAGTAGTAAATTGGTACCTGGGAGTTACAGCTATTACGGGCTGCTTCCTAGGTGTGTGTGGAAAAAATTGAGTCGAGAGGCAGGCCGAAAGAGCCAGAGCTCAACCCCCTGCAAGCACAACTAGGTGAATACTTGAAAAAAATCCACAAGGGCCGTGACGAGGATTCAAGGCAGCGTCTCGGATGCAGGTTCGAATCCTCGTCACGGCCCTTGTGGATTTGTTCATTTGATGCATCATGCAATTGTGATTTCTGTGTAGGTAAATACTTAATAAACCTAACCAAATTTAACGAGCTCGCAGCTTGCTCAAGCAGCTGGTGAAGTTCTTCCAGGTAGCAGACTGACTGGAGTTGCTATTTTTTGCTTTTCCAGTTTCCTCCTGTGAGTAGTGCAGAACTTTTTTTTTCTTGGCAATATGGGGGTAATGGGGGTTCTCTGGCCATCTTAATTGCAAAGCTTAGCATTCAATTCCCTGATTCTGTTATTAACACTGGGGAGAGAGAACTCCTCCCGCAGATTAGTTGTTTTGGCAGTTCTTTGGACCCCTAAGATTAACAGAGCTTCTGGCAACGTTTATCAAGTCCCTAGGACCAGACAGTATATGTCGGGGTCCTTTGCGCATATAAATGTTCACTTGGTGAGCCATCATTTTCCACTCAAGAAATGATTAGTAGAGTACTAGAGTTGTTAATATAGTGCCAAACTAGTCACCAATTAGTTTCTGTTGAAAAAATTTTGCTTCAATTGATAACCTTATCGAGAAAATCAGTTTGATCAGTGCCAGGGATTCAAACCTTGGACCTGGGGCACTTCAAGCCGGGCGCCTCACTACGGGACCACGGCACGGTCAAAGTTGTACAACCTGGGGTCCAGAGGTAAGATTCATGGCTTGGGAGTATCAGAGTTGGGGGTTTGAGTCCCCGCAGTGCTCCAATAATGTTTCCTTTTTGTCTATATATCATGTTAGTGTGGTTTTTGTGTATGTGAAGCTGGAGCATATGGTGAAGTCCATTACATGTACCAGTGTGCACATCCTTGCCGTTTTCTTTATTCTTGAGTTCTTATGCTATGTTCCTCACAAGAAGCTACAATACTTAAGATTGAAGTGATGGCATCTCAGAGAATATATTAAAATTAGGTTGTAAGATTGAAGTGATGGTATCTCAGAGAATATATTAAAATTAGGTTGTAGATTTATGGAACAAATTACAGGGTAACATAATAGGTCATCTTGATGATTTCGGGGCTTAGCATCCCCGTGGCCCCAGCCTCCTTTTTGTTACACATCCCCAGGCAGCAGCCCATAGCAGCTGTTTAACTCCCAGGTAACTATTTTACTGCTAGCTGAACAGGGGCATCAGGGTGAAAGAAACTGCCCATTTGTTTCCACCTCCACTGGGGATAGAACCTGGAACCTCGGGACTACGAATCCCGAGCGTTGTCCACTCAGCTGTCAGGCCCCTTAGAAGTTGGATTATTTTCAGCATAGGTTAGACAAATATATGAAGTTTAGGTAGATATAAATAAGAGTTACAGTATATGGGCCAATAGACCTTCCATATCCTTTATTTTTATGATAAAAAAAGAGGGTCATCATAGATGGATGTAACTAGTGTGGCACAAGGCATTCTAGTCATATTTTTAATGACTTTGACTACTGGAGTGAGCAGTAATCTAGGCCATGTAAGATATTGCTTTGTAGGTAATATTAGATCATAAAGAGAGGTTCAGTGTGCTATTTAAATATATTGCTACCAATTTTGAGATTCTTGAAATTGGCAGATGGCGGATTTCGAGGACGGAGCAGATGAGGTGGCAACCATCCAAGCACCAGTGGTGGAGGCTCCTGAGCTGCCAGAAATTAAGCTCTTTGGCAAATGGTCACTTGATGATGTACAGCTTAGTGACATGTCTCTCCAGGTGAGCCTCATTTGTACTTAAAGTTCAAAGTTGCTAAGGCATGAGTTCTTTAACTGCTGATTATAGTCTTACTCATAGATTAAAATGATCTAAAAATCTTAAATATAATGCAATACATCCTTTCATATGTGAATTAGAGAAAATGAACAATTTATATACATAACTAATATCGCTGAAATTTCAGTTTAGACAATGCATTTTAAAATTGGAAACGATCTGTCTTATATGTAGAGTACTGTACGTTGATATGTTGGAGTGGGATTAGGCATTTTGCATTATCTCGATTGCTTCATATTCTATTCCACAGCTATCAGTAGATTGTATTAGTATTTTCTTCAGTATATTGTGGCTTAATATTAGTTTATCAACAATGCTAATGAGCATTACTACTGCATTGTAGGATTACATTGCCGTGAAGAAATATTATGCCAAGTACCTGCCCCACTCTGCTGGTCGGTATGCGGCTAAGCGGTTCCGCAAGGCCCAGTGCCCCATTGTCGAGCGCCTTACCAACTCCCTGATGATGCACGGTCGCAACAATGGCAAGAAGCTGCTGGCTGTTCGCATTGTCAAGCACTCTTTTGAGATCATCCATCTTCTGACTGGTGAGGTTAGTACTTTTACCCTCTTGTTTACATGAAGAGTGCAGCTTTGATAAAACTTTTATTAGGAGTAGTGCTGGACCAACTGGGCTGTGGAGGGTATGTGGGCCTGCGGGCCGCTCCAGGCAACAGCCTAGTGGACCAAACTCACAAGTCAAGCCTGGCCTCGAGCCGGGCTTGGGGAGTAGAACTCCCAGAACCCCATCAACCAGGTATCACCCAGTTAGCAAGTGGTAAATTAAAAAAATTATTTTTAAAAATTATTTTTAAAAATTATTATTAAAAATTATTATTAAAAATTTCTAAAAAAAAATGTTTAGCTCTATTTTTACAAAAAATACCAGCTTATAGTAATGGATGCAATAAAATACATCCATCCCAAACCTTTGCTGCCCCCCCCCCCCAACCAAAGTAGACTAGAATTAAAAAAAAAAAACTGATGTTCAGTACAACACTCTTAGAATGAAAATTAGCCATACTTTCCATTTGAATTCAGAAAATGATTTCCATATCTGAAACTTTCTTTGGCTCATTTTGTGACGTTTTGTAGCAAGTCTATTAAACTTGTATATAGTTAAATGGTGGCACCAGCTATAGTTTTGTTAATGCCACAAAATTATTTTTCTCATGACCTAAACATTTTTGGTAAAGAATTTTTCATGACAATTTTGCATTAACCTGAACAAATAGTTGTTTAACCATTAGATTGCAGGTATCTTGGAGGAGCAAAAGATAGGGGGAGGGGGAGGGTAATAACTGTGTCAATACTTGAAATGTAAAGCATTATTTACCACTTTCCTAGTCTTGAAATGATTGTTTTAATCTCCTACCAGTGTATTGGAAATCAAGCATAGATAGTTATAGCACTTGGATACTTGGGCTGGATGGTAGAGCCGCGGTCTCGTTTCATACAGGTCGGCGTTCAATCCTTGCCAGTCAAAGTGATTGGCCCATTATCCGCCCCCCCCCCCCCCCCCTTTCCCGTCCCATCCCAAATCCTTATCCTGACCCCTTCCAAGTGCTATACAGTATAGTCATTATAGCTTGGCACTTTATCCTGATAATTCCTTCCGTCCTTCATGAGAGGAGCCTTACCTTAAAACCTTTGCCTAATCATTATAATGCTCATGGAGATGATGTGCACTAGCCAGACCTTTAATGTTCCCCCCTCCCCACCTCATTACTCCTACCCACCCATATCAACCATTAAATAGTTTTGCACCAGGATGACATTACCTGGTGTAAGTGTGGACAGCTTTGTTGGACTTGATCCGACACCTCTCTGAAATGGCTGAGATTGTGAGGCTAGACAGAATGCTTGTAGAGGAAAGATTTGATGATCTTAATAAAAGAGGAAAGTGTTTTTTGAGATATTGAGCCCCACAAAGATTATTTTATCTTCAAACTTTGTGGAGCCAAGAGAGAACTTTCAGAAGCCCAGAGACTAAAGACCCTTAAGAACATGGGATAACAAGAACTCGATTCAAACAAGTGTTGATGATGAGAAAGGAAGGCAGAAGACCTGAAGGAAACTGGCATTAGAGGAGGACAACGAAAAGGAAAAAGACATGGATGTAATCCCAAAGCTAACACCAGAAATTTCCAGGATAACTTCAGTTGTACATATATTGGAAGTTTAAAAATTTTTTTTTTTAGGCCTTTCATAATTGAAATCACAAGACAAACCCCCAAAAAGCTAATATTTTGATGATTTAGGCCATGTTGTCAATTCTGATTTTTTTTTTAACTTTCTAAAAGTGGTCATTGTGGGAACAGAGTATGCAGCAATGTACTGTGTTTGCCAGTGTATAAGTATTGTGTGTAATTTTTTTAGCATGTTTTATCATATATTGTCATAATTATTGAAAATTATGTTTTAAGTGGTTTTGAAGGGGGGAACATGATTTTGTATATATAAATACAATATGTACTTGGTGATGGACCAAAAATGTGCACACTGTCCACCGTTAAAAATATGGTGTATGTAGGCTAGTAAATTTAGTCTCGAATATTGTCATTAGTGACAATATTAAATTATTTGCAAGGTTTGCACCTATTAGAGCCACTTTAGATTCAATAACTACTGTGGTGTCGAAAGAGTGCTAGATAAAATTAGAGAATTCGCTAACGCCACAAGGGTTATGTTGGCCCGATGAGTGGAGTTTGATAGTACTCTCTAGACAAGATTAGCGAGTGATTAGTGCATCTGACGTGTGTGTATATATTGTGCCATAATAGCCAGAGCTGCTCAACACGTCAAATTTTCCTGAAATTTTAAACTTTTCCAGTATTTTATCTTGTGGAATAGTTTTTGTTGTACTTTATATTGTGAATTTTTGTAATTTGGAGCTAACAGAAATTTGATAACCCAATCTTACCGAGTCAGAAAATTAATGTCCTTTATGTGTAAATTTGTTAAAATATATAATTTTTAAAATGTGCAAATAATGAAAATTGCTGTCTGTTAAGCAAATAAGAGCCTTGTTAATTAGGCAATGTAATGCATTTCTGGCTATTAGGTATTACATACATATATAGATACTGCTAAACAGCTTGGAGCTCTACAACCATTATTTAAGTTATTAATAAAGTGTTGTTTCAGAATCCAGTTCAAGTTGTGGTAAATGCCATCATCAATTCTGGTCCTCGTGAGGATTCTACCCGTATTGGTCGTGCTGGTACTGTAAGGAGGCAGGCTGTGGATGTCTCTCCTCTCCGACGTGTCAACCAGGCAAGTTGTATTGACAATAAATCACAATACAGGCAAGGTGTATTGGGATTCATTGTAATTTTTATTAACTGTAGAGACAACCTGGTCTCTGACTTATTACTTTTGGATTGAGATTTAGGTAGGGTTGGACCCCTTGGGAGAGGGGTCATTTGGGCCCTGGTTGTAAACTGGTGGTGTGTTGGATTCCAGGGAAAGCTAGTAGGGCAAGGCTCAAGATGAGCTATGGGTATGGAAAGCTAGAAGCATGCTAGCAACAGTCAGAAGTGGTATATTATTGTACTTGCCTGTGTGTGTCGGGTGGATGGCAGCTCTTGGTAGACAGGATGTGTGCAAGCTGTGTGTTAAGTTTGATATGTAATGATTTGGCTATATCCAATTTCTTTGTATTTTGATGATTTTGGTGTTGGTGGTCAGGATATATCTGATAGTCTGGTTGTGTGTAGAAATGTGATGTTTGATGGAGCCTTTCTTGTTTGTGAATTGTAAAGTTTCTTGAGAGATGTCCTACCTATATATGGAGATCATTGAGGCTTGACAGTTTCAAAGTGGCCATGTAAAGGCATAACATTTCTCTTTAAGGCATTCTGTTTGGATAATTCATGAGCAATTCTTACTCTTGTATAAGGCTTGTAATACATAATCAGATTAAATAAATAAGTCTTGGGACGGCATATAAGTTATATAATTAAATCAGATATTGTTGAGGATTTTTGTATAATTTTAAGCATTATATATTTAATTTTAAATTATGCACCTATTAGAGCCATGATAGCGTTCTGCTGTTGTGGTGTCGAAAGTGTGCTATACTAACTCAAAGGTTTTGCAAACGCCCCTGTATTAATAAGTGGAGTTTGGTAACAACCTTTGAACATTTACTTAAAATATTTCTTTTTGTCTCTCTTCCCCCCCCCCCATTGCATCTTGCTCATAAACTATCCATTTGCAGGCCATCTGGCTCCTGACAACTGGTGCACGTGAGGCTGCTTTCCGCAACATCAAGACCATTGCAGAGTGTCTCGCTGATGAGTTGATCAATGCTGCCAAGGTACGTGTGGCCGATTGGTGAACTTTTATAAATTCAAGTTGTCGGTAGATTAAGCCCATGCCTGGCATGAATTGTTATAAAGTAAGTTCTACATCTGCAGCTTCATAAGTGCAATAACAGGAACTATATTTGAAGTTTAATTTAAAATTTGCAAAGACTGCCTAATTTAATCCAGCACACTAACATTTAGAATCAGTCTGAAAAATTAATAAAATTAAAAAGCATATGATGTAGGTAGGTGGTGGTAAACTTTTGTTGTATTTTTCAGGGATCATCCAACAGCTATGCAATCAAGAAGAAGGATGAACTTGAACGTGTTGCCAAGTCTAACCGTTAAAGTGGAAATAAATATTGTTCTTTGCACAGTTGTTTAATAAGTCCTGATCTGAATATTGGAAAGATTTCACTTGGTGTGGCAGTGTGAGCTACTTTTCAAAGGGCTGAACCTGGTCAATAGTAGTGATCCTGTAAGGGCATAAGCATGCCAATCCTCGTTGTTTTTTCCCCAGTTTTCAAAATTACTACTTTGTTCTTGCCAAACATTGCCAATTTTATTAATTAATTTTTATAAGTTAAAATATCCACAAATACAGTATTTTAAATTTGATGCAGGAATAAATTATGCACCAAAAAGTTATTTTAAATATGTAATACGGAAAAATTCTAATTCGAAAATTTTATGGTTTGCTTCCCAGCCTAGGGTTAGGGCTAAGTCAATTATGAACAAGTCTTCTAAGCATCTGGTCCCCAACCTTATAGTCTCGTCTATAGATATGTTAAAATATTTTATGAAAATAACTGACTTTAAAAGTTTAGAATTTCAAAGGAATAGAGATGGTATGCAGTCAGACTGACGGATCCTGTAAATGTTGATGTTACAGGGTTATTATTGATGCTAAACTTTAATTATTCCCATGTTTGGATACGGCAGTTCATGTCTCTATGCTTAGATATGGCAGTTTATAATAATGTCCCTATGCTTGGATAATGGCATCCTAGTATAGACCTCGTGTAACACTATAAAGTGTACTTGAACAGAGCCGTTCATGAGGATTGTTTGGATACAGAAATTCAAGATCTATTCTGTGATACAGCAGTTCATAAGGTACATATGCTTTGATGAAGTATGCTGGGATTCGGCAGTTAACCCGTTCTCACTATAACATAGTACCTATGTAGAGAGAAACTAAAATGCTTGTTTCTACGCTGCTAATGTTCATAGTTCCCCTGTGATAGATTTCCAGTTATTACCTATCACCAGACACCACCTATTCCTCGTGTACCATAGTATGTCCCATAGTACCCGTTCCATCGCCGTAGACCGCGGAATAGTCTGCTCCAATTTTAATGATTGCATTTTCCAGTCCCAATAAATTGAAATTTACGCACTATTTACCATGCGGTTCGAATATCATTGATCAGCTACATAAAGTTGAAGGCTCGTAAGTTTTGTCTTTGAGAAATTTTGGTAGTTCTCAGTAAAGCATAGTAAGTACTAGAAATTATTATATAAAATGATGGTACTGTGGCTAATCAATATTATATACAATAGTGTGTGCTTTGAAAATCTAAAGAGAATGGATTGTAGGAACATAAATAAAAAACGATGTTACATAGGAATCACTGGGAAAACGTTGGCCAAAACCACACTAATAAGTGAAGAGACGACGACGTTTCGGACCGTCCTGGACCATTATAAAGTCCATTGTGGTCCAGGACTGACCGAAACGTCGTGGTCTCTTCACTTTCTAGTGTGAGGTTTGGTCAACGTTTTTCAGCCTCGTTATTGTGACGCTTTAGCTGTCTATGGGGTACACTTGCAAACAGGATGGATATAGGGTCCACAACAAGTCACATGGTGTTAATGGGGTCTTCTACTAACCCAAATAGATAGGTATGGGGTCCACTATATGTCCACAGGATGGGTGTTATCTTGGTTATCTTTGAGATGATTTCGGGGCTTAGTGTCCCCGCGGCCCGGTCCTCGACCAGGCCTCCACCCCCAGGAAGCAGCCCGTGACAGCTGACTAACACCCAGGTACCTATTTTACTGCTAGATAACAGGGGCTTCAGGGTGAAAGAAACTGCCCATTGTTTCTCGCCGGCGCCCGAAATCGAACCCGGGACCACAGGATCACGCGTACAGTGTTCTGTCCGCTCAGCCACCGGCTCGGGCAACGTAAGATCAATTGCTGCCCGCAGGGTGGGTATGGGGTCCACTACTGACCCGCAGGGTGGGTATGGGGTCCACTACTGACCCGCAGGATGGGTATGGGGGTCCACTACTGACCCGCAGGGTGGGTATGGGGTCCACTACTGACCCGCAGGGTGGGTATGGGGTCCACTACTGACCCGCAGGGTGGGTATGGGGTCCACTACTGACCCGCAGGGTGGGTATGGGGTCCACTACTGACCCGCAGGGTGGGTATGGGGTCCACTACTGACCCGCAGGGTGGGTATGGGGTCCACTACTGCCCGCTGGGTGGGTATGGGGTCCACTACTGCCCGCTGGGTGGGTATGGGGTCCACTACTGCCCGCTGGGTGGGTATGGGGTCCACTACTGCCCGCTGGGTGGGTATGGGGTCCACTACTGCCCGCTGGGTGGGTATGGGGTTCACTACTGCCCGCTGGGAGGGTATGGGGTCCACTACTGCCCGCTGGGTGGGTAAGGGGTCCACTACTGCCCGCTGGGTGGGTATGGGGTCCACTACTGCCCGCTGGGAGGGTATGGGATCCACTACTGCCCGCAGGGAGGGTATGGGGTCCACTACTGCCCGCTGGGTGGGTATGGGGTCCACTACTGCCCGCTGGGAGGGTATGGGGTCCACTACTGACCCGCAGGGAGGGTATGGGGTCCACTACTGACCCGCAGGGTGGGTATGGGATCCACTACTGCCCGCAGGGAGGGTATGGGATCCACTACTGACCCGCAGGGTGGGTATGGGGTCCACTACTGCCCGCTGGGTGGGTATGGGGTCCACTACTGACCCGCAGGGAGGATATGGGGTCCACTACTGCCCGCTGGGTGGGTATGGGGTCCACCACTGCCCGCTGGGTGGGTATGGGGTCCACCACTGCCCGCTGGGTGGGTATGGGGTCCACCACTGCCCGCTGGGTGGGTATGGGGTCCACTACTGCCCGCAGGGTGGGTATGGGGTCCACTACTGACCCGCTGGGTGGGTATGGGGTCCACTACTGCCCGCAGGGTGGGTATGGGGTCCACTACTGCCCGCAGGGTGGGTATGGGGTCCACTACTGACCCGCTGGGTGGGTATGGGGTCCACTACTGCCCGCTGGGTGGGTATGGGGTCCACCACTGCCCGCTGGGTGGGTATGGGGTCCACCACTGCCCGCAGGGTGGGTATGGGGTCCATTACTGACCCGCTGGGTGGGTATGGGGTCCACTACTGCCCGCAGGGTGGGTATGGGGTCCACTACTGCTCGCAGGGAGGGTATGGGGTCCACTACTGACCCGCTGGGTGGGTATGGGGTCCACTACTGCCCGCAGGGTGGGTATGGGGTCCACTACTGCTCGCAGGGTGGGTATGGGGTCCACTACTGCTCGCAGGGAGGGTATAGGGTCCACAACTGACCCGCTGGGTGGATATGGGGTCCACTACTGACCCGCAGGGAGGGTATAGGGTCCACTACTGACCCGCAGGGTGGGTATGGGGTCCACTACTGCTCGCAGGGAGGGTATAGGGTCCACTACTGACCCGCTGGGTGGGTATGGGGTCCACTACTGACCCGCAGGGAGGGTATAGGGTCCACTACTGACCCGCAGGGTGGGTATGGGGTCCACTACTGCTCGCAGGGAGGGTATAGGGTCCACTACTGACCCGCTGGGTGGGTATGGGGTCCACTACTGACCCGCAGGGAGGGTATAGGGTCCACTACTGACCCGCAGGGTGGGTATGGGGTCCACTACTGCTCGCAGGGAGGGTATAGGGTCCACTACTGACCCGCTGGGTGGGTATGGGGTTCACTGCCACCTGTTTATTTTATTTTATTTATTTTGAGATATATACAAGAGTTGTTACATTCTTGTACAGCCACTAGTACGCGTAGCGTTTCGGGCAAGTCCTTAATCCTATGGTCCCTGGAATACGATCCCCTGCCGCGAAGAATCGTTTTTTCATCCAAGTACACATTTTACTGTTGCGTTAAACAGAGGCTATAGTTAAGGAATTGCGCCCAGTAAATCCTCCCCGGCCAGGATACGAACCCATGACATAGCGCTTGCGGAACGCCAGGCGAGTGTCTTACCACTACACCACCGGAGATTTATATATACAAGAGTTCTTACACTCTTGTACAGACACTAGTAAGCGTAGCGCTTCGGGAAAGTCCTTAATCCTATGTGTAGTGACATTTTAATTAATTAAAAAGACGTAATTAGAAATTACGACTTTTTATACCGAAAATATGCCAATTACTGAAAGCGGCGATGGGTCATATTTTGCCCAAACCCCCCTGCAGTTTTCAAAATACCTGAAATGTCGGAAATTTGACTCCTGAGCGTGATTTTTGAGCCGAATTCTGACTCTGCACCTATTTTCATTTTTAAATTACTACTTTTTATACCGAAAATATGCCAATTACTGAAAACGACGATGGGTTAAATTTTGCCCAAACCCCCCTGCAGTTTTCAAAATATCTGAAAGGTCGGAAATTTGACTCCTGAGCGTGATTTTTGAGGCGAATTCCGACTCCGCACCTATTTTCATTTTCAAATAACGACTTTTCATATAAAAAATATGCCAATCACTGAAAACGGCAATAGGTCATATTTTGCCCAAACCCCCCTGCAGTTTTCAAAATACCAGAAATATCGGAAATTTAGCTCCTGAGCGTGATTTTTGAGCCAAATTCTCACTCTGCACCTATTTTAATTTTCAAATTTCGACTTTTTATGCCGAAAATATACCAATTACTGAAAACGGCGATGGGTCATATTTTGCCCAAACCCCCCTGCAGTTTTCAAAATATCCGAAATGTCGGAAATTTGACTCCTGAGCGTGATTTTTGAGCCGAATTCTGACTCTGCACCTATTTTCATTTTTAAATTACGACTTTTTATACCGAAAATAGGCCAATTACTGTAAACGGCGATGGGTCATATTTTGCCCAAACCCCCCTGCAGTTTTCAAAATATCTGAAATGTCTGAAATTTAGCTCCTGAGCGTGATTTTTGAGCCAAAATCTCACTTTCTGCACCTATTTTCATTTTCAAAGTACGACATTTTATACCGAAAATATGCCAATTACTGAAAACGACGATGGGTTAAATTTTGCCCAAACCCCCCTGCAGTTTTCAAAATATCCGAAATGTCGGAAATTTGACTCTTGAGTTTGATTTT